TTGTTTTAAAGCTCAATAAATAACAAAGAAGACCTTTGACCGGCACTTTTCTAATTTTGTCCGGAAGATTTAAACTTTAACGGACATCTTGACCGGCGAAACAAACTGAAACTGAAACTCTGCCGCACGGTCCCCTCGTTCCTTGGAAGAGGCGGAGAGGTGGGTGTTTGTCATCTGCTGGTGGACTAACCGGAGAGAATTACAGTGCTTGCCTCGACGGGGAGGGATTGCATTGCAGCGGGAGCAAACGCTTGCCTCGGGGAGGGAGAAAAAAAGCCACAGCGGAGAATAAACAGAAGGGTAACCATGGGCGGGAAGTCTTCTTCACTGCTTTTGTGGCAGACTACAGCGCCACTTACAGGCCTGGCATATGTACTACAGCGTCTCCAGCGCTTTCGAACGGCAATGGCCGTGGCTGTCTCCTCCTGATTGGTGGAGTTGGCCCAATAGCCGTAGCGCCACCGTCCTGACGTCAGGACAGTGTTCAAATCTGGATCAGTTTTTATCAGATCCGTTGCAGCCCCTTTTTTAGAGATTTGGGTATGGAGGAAAATAGAGAGGGTTGTGTTTTCTGACACTTGGTGAGTTCCCTGGAACACCGGGGACACACATTCATGTATAAAAGACGTACAAAAGTGCATTTTGCATGATAGGTCCCCTTTAAGTAAGGTTTAAATGCAGGACTTCATAGTGCAGTATTTTGACAGTGTTTTGTCAGTACTCTGACTAAAGGATCTTCTGTCCGGAGGTTTCTGCTCTGCACCTGAACTCATTCTGGTCACGTTGCAGTTCACTGGCCCTGAAATTGAAATCAGCTTTATGTTGATTCAGCCACTTCATTCCGGCTAATGCCCTCAGATGAGTTCAGGCATCGGAATGAGAATGACTTCTATACACTGCAGGAGATCCACTTGATGCCATTCAGTGAAATAGTCAAAAGCGAGTTAATGTAATGTAATTGTACTAAATATCTTAAATTGTGTGGTTTGATGAATTATTTTCTTAAAATGGTAAGAGAAAAGAAGAGCGAGTCAGAGAAAGGATTGCATGTCTTCAGAAGAAACCATTACTGCAGGATGGAAATGGATTGATTTTACTCTGAGGGGAGAGAACAGAGCAGTGACCTGAGGCTGAAGGGGTGTGATGGAGAGGAGCTAAAGCAAGAACTCACATATCTTACTCCAGTAAAAGTAGCAATACTGAAAATTCCTAACTTCCTTATAAGTAAAAGAATAAAAATATCTACATCAAAATGCACACAATAAATAATACCAGAGAATCCAGATGTGATGGAGAGGAGTAAACAGACTGCAGGAGGAACTGCTGAGTCATGACAGGCGTCAGGAGGAACAGATCTGCTGAGTCATGAGAAGCTTCAGGAGGAACAGATCTGCTGAGTCATGAGAAGCTTCAGGAGGAACAGATCTGCTGAGTCATGAGAAGCTTCAGGAGGAACAGATCTGCTGAGTCATGAGAAGCTTCAGGAGGAACAGATCTGCTGAGTCATGAGAGGCTTCAGGAGGAACAGATCTGCTGAGTCATGAGAAGCTTCAGGAGGAACAGATCTGCTGAGTCATGAGAAGCTTCAGGAGGAACAGATCTGCTGAGTCATGAGAAGCTTCAGGAGGAACAGATCTGCTGAGTCATGAGAGGCTTCAGGAGGAACAGATCTGCTGAGTCATGAGAAGCTTCAGGAGGAACAGATCTGCTGAGTCATGAGAAGCTTCAGGAGGAACAGATCTGCTGAGTCATGAGAAGCTTCAGGAGGAACAGATCTGCTGAGTCATGAGAGGCTTCAGGAGGAACAGATCTGCTGAGTCATGAGAGGCTTCAGGAGGAACAGATCCGCTGAGTCATGAGAAGCTTCAGGAGGAACAGATCTGCTGAGTCATGAGAGGCTTCAGGAGGAACAGATCTGCTGAGTCATGAGAAGCTTCAGGAGGAACAGATCTGCTGAGTCATGAGAAGCTTCAGGAGGAACAGATCTGCTGAGTCATGAGAAGCTTCAGGAGGAACAGATCTGCTGAGTCATGAGAGGCTTCAGGAGGAACAGATCTGCTGAGTCATGAGAGGCTTCAGGAGGAACAGATCCGCTGAGTCATGAGAAGCTTCAGGAGGAACAGATCTGCTGAGTCATGAGAGGCTTCAGGAGGAACAGATCTGCTGAGTCATGAGAGGCTTCAGGAGGAACAGATCTGCTGAGTCATGAGAGGCTTCAGGAGGAACAGATCCGCTGAGGTAATTATTCCTTTTTTTTTGTCCGTTTGTGAAAAATCAAGATATTTCCCTTTTTAAAGACCGTAATTATTATTTCATTTTTGCAAACATATCTCCACGCAGTGGCGGCTCCAGGGTATTTTTGTTGGGTAATCTATGGTAGGGCTAACCCATACAGTGGTGGGGCTCAAGTCAGTATTTGCAATGTAATTACATACACGCTATATCGCCCCCCTTGACAGTGAAACGCCACGCGTGAGGTTTAGATGATTTCCCTGTCTCAATCCAAATTGAACTGTATGAAATAAAAAGGCACATTTGTCTTGTAGTAAATAAAAAGGGCGACCTGGAGCCAATCCTGCAATTTCCCCACAGGTGAAAGAGTTGACATGCTGAAAACCCGACCCCTGCAGGGGGGTCTGGGGGGATTCTTCCCCAGGAGATTTTTTGAAATACTACCATAAAATACACATTCTGGTACTCTCTTGAGAAAAAAAAAAATAAATCTATTACTACACGACATATTATTTTTTGTTACTTTGTTCTGAAAGCTGAACCTGCTGCTCCTCACAGAGAGAAGAGGCTGTGTGAATTACTTTACATTGTGGATAAGGGTGGATAGCCCCCATTGTTCTGTGTGTCAAAATGAAAGACAGCCCACACACCTATCAATCATCAAACCGTGGGGTCTTATTATCAACACGTAATGTTGTATCCTGTATCCATGGATGTATAAAGAGAAGTTCTACCGCGACTTCCTGTAACAACACCACGCCGTTATCGTGATTCTGATTGGCCAGAAGCAAAACATGACCTGTAATGGGTAGAACTATTACTAAGAATTCTGGGTATTTTTGGCCTACAGAAGCTAAAATAAGAAACAAATAAGTGCCTACCTGGGTAAATACCACTAAGTTCAGTCACTTTATTTACAGAGATAAGGTTGAATCAGTTGGTCTGTGCAGCATAGACCGGGCCTACAGAGAACCTGCTGGTTAAATCAGAATCAGAAAACCTTTATTTGAGGTGGGGGAATTTAAATGGCCATCGGAGAGGAATTCCAAAAATTAGATAAGATACCACTAATTATTTCCATAAATAGCTATAATAAAAAGGATCTAATGGCTGCCCGGGTGTCAACAACTTTGCTGCCACGGACACCTGGGCACATGTCTCCACCATGCTGGGTACTCCGCAGTGTCAATATCATCTGCCTTTTTTTTTAAATGTGTATAGATTTGACCTACATTACACACTATCTTCCATCTTGGGCTTTCATTATTTTGTATATTTATTTTGTTATGCTTTTGAATGTTTGGCTGCATGTCCCTCAGTGGTGAAAAGTAATTTAGCAAGTCATTTGAAAGTCAGATTTTCCCCCAAAATTGCCCTGCTTTCAGCTTTGAGGTTATCTTAGAGCTTTTTGGAATGTTTATTTAGATAATAAGAATTGTTCTCAATTCATAAAAGGAACACTTCATTCTTAAGTTTATCAAAACAATCAATATCAACACATTGAAAATACTTGGTTTAACAGGATACGTAGGAGGTTAACAAATTGTAATCTGAAAATGACCTAAAGTGACGTCAGCTCGGCCTTTCCAGTGAAATATGTGTCTGTTATTTGGGTGCAGAATGACATCACGCTGTGTGATTGTTAAACCCCCTGAGGAAGAGTGTGATGTGTGATATGGTGCTTTATAAATAGAATGACGTGACATGGCCGGCCCCGCCTCCTCTGGTGACAGCAGCACAATGACGACACCCACACTGGAATAAATGCATAGTTTATCATATCATAACAATAAATTGTCAAGGCTACATCGTCAAAAAAACAGTCTAGTAGATTGAGGGATTGAAACCTAAATGATGAACAGGAAGTGAGGTGAACAAACCGTGTGATGAAGAAGAGGTACAAACGTGACGTTGCATTGAATAATTACGCTCATTCTGTGAGGCGCTGCAAGACAAAAGTTGCTCTAAAAAGGTTAAATGTCTTCTACTGAGAGTATACGTAGTGACCGCTGTGCATTTCATACAGCTATGAGCTACCAGAGATCACCGGCTATTCTGCTACAGGACCGCTGTGAGTTCCTCTAGATACCTGAATAAAAACAGCTTCCTGCTGTGGAAACAAAGAGAGAAATCCATCGTTCATCTATTCGGCTTATTTCAAAGACTCCATTAGTCTTACGGGGGGGCGTTCTGGGGGGGGGGGGGGGGGGGGGGGGGGGGGGGGGGGTGGGTTCTTGAATGGGGTTCAGTAGATCTTTGGAGTTCTAAGGAGTTCTTCGGGGAGGTTGGTGAGATCTGTTTTGGGGTGCAATGGCTTTAGACCTTTATAAACGTGTTCCTTAAGGTTCTCTAAAGTTCTTGTGAGGGTTTTTGAAAAGTGTTCCAGGGGATGTTCCTCAGGAAATTCAAGGTGTTCAGGCGTTCCTGAGGGTGGAGGAGTCCTAAGTGGATTATTTATCTTAAAGGTAGGGTAGGTAAGTTTGAGAAACCGGCTCGAGATACACTTTTTGTTATATTCCATGGAATGCTCTTAACATCCCGATAGCAATGAATATCTTAAATGCTTTGACAAAAAATACATAAAAAAATGTCATCTGTGGAAGCCGTAGTACTGTAAAAAGCACGAGCAATCATTTTAGCCGGCCCGGCTAAAATAACTGGATGGCCTACCTGCCTGTCAGCCTTCCATCTGTGCACAAACTTATCTCGTGCCCTCATTGGTCATGTGCGCGTTCGTGTGTGTTGGAGGAGGGGCTCTGTAAGGAAGTGGCAGATTTTCTCCGGTTGTGTATTTTCAAATTCTAGCGATCTCGAGACGGTTTCTCAAACTTACCTACCCCACCTTCAAGTGGTTCTGTTTGATATCCAGAAAACAATTTTCTTCAGGAGGCAGAAATGATGTTTTAAAATCACTGAAAAGAGTCTCCGCAGGGTTGGATTATTGAGCGGACCTGCTGGGCACAGGATCAGGGGCCAAAAAGGTCGGGGGCCCCTCAACCAAAGCTTCTGTTTGCAATACTGTTCTGAAAGGGGAAGTCCGACATCAGAACACGTCACTGTTCACAGGGTTTGGAGGGTTCTCTGCATTTGAGAGAAAAAAGGTGTATTGAGCCATTTGCGACTCCAAAGTGACTGACACAAATGACTGAACAAATTGTCCCAAATGAAGACTACAATTTTGAAAATGTTAATAATGTGTGGTCTAACCCAACCTATTTAGCTCGCTGCTCCACGCTAAATTAGCAGCTGCTAGCATAACAACAACCAAATCCTTACCGAACTGTCCATGGTTTAGTGGTTATGTTGTCGGAGTTGTCAGACAAGGACCAAAATAATATTTAAATCACATTTGCTTTTGTATTTGTATTTCCCTTCATACAACAGCTGCACTGCTCAGGATTAAGGCTGCATAACGAATGTTTCCACTATTGATGATTCATTCTGCATTTATTTTCAAAATTCCGTTGTTACATCTCAAATGACTTGTTTAATCCGACCAACAAATATGCAAGATACTCAATTAAGAGCCAAATAAAACTTTTAAATGCTTGATGATCAACTAACAGACCGACTGTAAGTCCAAAGTAACATTTCACTGTAATATTGGAACATTACATCGGTTTGTCAGAACTGCTTTTATCAAGCAGAACCTGAGCTGAAGCTTTTAGGACAGTTTCCTGCTATATTTGTACAGCATGCTGTCATTTTGAGTATTTTTTAGATTGTAGTTTAGTCAGGAACTAAAGAGAAGTTCATCTGCAGCTCTTGAACAGCTGCATTCTAACCGTTCTCTGAGAGTCTCCTTCAGTCTGGGGGCTTTTACATGTCTGTGCCCCCTTAAGGGCCCATTGACTCATAATCCCCCCATATGACTTTCAGAAGAACCACCATTTTATCCCTCACACAGTGAAACACCCCGACACTAAATCAAGAAGAAAGGCATAATTTCTAAGAGGTTTTTAAAAATCTTACTGGCCTGGAGGAAACATGTCTTTGAATCTGGAAAAAACAAGAACAAGCTAAAAACATATTGACCGCCTCAGGAAGGGGTGTTTGGGAAAACAATTATCCCCCCCCCCCCCCACCTGCATCCTGCAGCCTGAATCCTGCATGGAGCAGCAGCACCCCCCCACGTCCTCTGCCAGCATCCCAAACTCTGAATGCAGTCAGGTCTCTGCCAGCCCCCATCAGCCCCTGCAGCAGCCGCATGTCAGGTGTGTGTGCAGTCACCTACATGATGTGTGCAGATGTGTGTGTCCGTGCGTGCTGTGTCATCCCAGCAGGCAGTCGGTGCGGTTGGGTGCCTGGGTGGTGCTGGTGATGTTGTTGTGCTGGTCCGGGGTCCAGAAGAACACATAGTAGATGACCAGGATGAACGCAGCCACAGATACGCAGAGGAAATAGGCGATCGCCAACGCGACTTTCACCCAGATCTTAGTTGACATGTTGGCGTGTTTGGCCCGCAGCTCCCCGGGGTAGCTCGGCCTCCGCTTCATGTCCCCGTTCAGCTTCTCCGCCGTCACGGTGCCTTGCCTGCCGGCCGCTTTCATCTTGGTATTAACGCAGACACCGTTTCCAAGGATTTTCCCTCTGCGGACTGTTGTGTGTTCATTTGAGTCCGGACAGCAGAGCCAGATGCTCCCCTCTCCTCTGCGCGGCTCTTCTCTCCTCCGGAGCGGGATCAGGATGCAGTGTGACCCGCTGCTCCCCCGGTGCTGGTCCTCGGGACGGTGAGGCTCTGTGACCCTGCGAGTCCTCCGTGCGCACTGCCGGGCAAACTGAACTCAGGGAGGCTGACTCTGGCAGCATCTGGTGGGACCGCTGTCAGGCTGGCCATGGTTACACACTGTGTTTCCGGTGGGAACTTTCAAAATAATACAAACTGTTAACTGCAAAAAACACCACATAATAAATATGGTGTGTATAAAACTAAGAGAATAGAAGAAAATAAATTGGAAAATATACAAAATGTAAAGACAATCAAGAATACACGAGTGGCAGTAGTGGTGGTCGATGTGGACACAAGCCACACCTGGCTCATTGGATTGAATTATGTGTGTCTGTATAATTAGAAAGATGTAGTAAATATGATAAAGAACATGATACAAAAACCAGTAACATATTAACATAAAATAGCAGGAATTGTTTTCACAAGCTATAGCAGAATGGACTTTAGTTAAGATTGCCTTTTTATAGCACTGCAGTATTTGTATTTTTGTATTTTATTGTATATGTTGCATCATTGGAGGAGCTCCGGTCATACGATTTTAATTGTCATTTCTACACTGTAGTTTATGTGCATATATGACATAACCTTTGAAACAGTAGCATTTAAGTGATGAACACATTATTATGTAATTATAATACAATTATCATATGTTATTCTTCTAAGAAAAGGCCATTGTGCATAATATGTACCTTTACTTTAAAACATATTTAGATGTTATAACTTTTATTTTACAAAAGAAACATTTTTAAATGCAGCTCGGCTTTAACTTGTAAAACTATGCTACCTTTTAATGAAGTAGCACAGCCTGCTTCTTCCACTTCAGGGTACCACAGACTCACTGAAGGCCTGCTTACACTTGGTAGGATTATTATTTTGTGATAAGGATCGGGGGAAACCACTCTTATTCTGAAGGACAATTCGCTTCGTTTCCGGTGGCACTGCGCTTGGTTGACGCAGTTTCGGACGAGGCGGGGCTGAAAGTACGCAACACTCAACGATTGGGTCATAGTTTGTGAAGCGTCCCGCAGCAGAAGACGGGAGAGATGCGGTGCTCGACCCCCTCTCTGATCCCCTCCTCCAGCCCGGAAAACCTGTTCAGCAGCCGGTCGCCATAGCACATAGGAGGCATCAGACCCAATTAAAAAATAAATCCCTCCACAGATGAGTCACCGGCTGCAGATATCAAAAATAGGCTACGTATTGAGAGCTGCAACGGGACGAAAAGAAGAGCCATGGAGCCCGTATTCTTCCCTGCAGCAGTCTGCAAGGTCATAATGAGGCATGAGAAAAAACTAAATGTGCACAAGGCGGAATGGTTTCAGACTGCCTCATTGCTTGGTCAGCAGGATATAATTCCACATTAAGTCTCTGAATGAATAAAGAAGCAGTGAGGTCATCATCAGTCATATTTCAGTGGATGCAATCTGAATCAGCATTTAATCCAACATGGGCGCATGCACGCAATATATTTCATTCCTTTAACCTGACTTTGAACTTCTCCCTGTTCAAAAACTTGGCATAAGTGACCTTAAGATGCTTTTCAGTGGAGAAAAGGTGATGATCATGGTGTCCTAACAGAGGAGAGATGAGATTAAGTGCCTTTTATGGGGCCCTAACTATGGATACAACATGAAGTGCCCTTCCACTGGAGAAAGTGGTGCAGTGCCCTTACAAAACTAAGCTAAAATGCTAATGACATGCTTTTCAGTGGAGAAAACAGGATGATCTCTATGGTGTCCTAACAAGAAATAAAAAAAAGTGCCTTCTATGGTGCCCTTACCATGAGAAAACATAATGAAGCACCCTTCCAGTGGATACAATATGGTGAAGTGCCAAATGGGATACTATGTGTGCAGTGCATGCCCTTCCAGTGGAAAATGTAATGAAAGGCCATTTCAGTGAAGAACATGTGATGAAGTGCCCTTATAACTCTGCTAAAATAACAATTTGATGCTTTTCAGTGGAGAAAACAGGAGGATCTCCATCGTGTCCTAACGGAAAAGACATTTAAAAAGTGCCTTCTAAAGTGCCTTTACTATATGAAGAAAGCATAATGAAGTGTGAGAACATGTGATGAACTATGTGCTATTTCAGATGGTGAGAGGAGACACAGTGGAGGCTGCCCTACATGCTAGAAGACCTGCGCACTAGCCCCTGCCTCTGGTCCATCACCTACTGCAAAAATCACACTTGGCTGCAGAAATCGGAGAAATACATTTATTGGCTAAATAAGAGAAAGAAAAACTGATAAAGCCATACTGTGCTTTACATTTCATGTGAATACAAACATAGGGCTTATTTTCCCTTGGATGTGTGAGCTGATGAGGGACATTTAATCCATCTATGGCTTTGAGAACATTCAAAAGCTACCATTTTGGATTCATGCTAGTCCTGATAATCTTTATGAAAACAGCTGCACAGGTTCTCAGTGAGTTCATGTATCAAGCAGGAAGACATTGTAGAAATGGTTGTAGAAATATCTCCTGCTTAAATTACAATCAGTCATCAAAGCTCAGAAGAACAAACATCCATATGCAAAACACAGAATCATTTTTCATAGCTCACAGGCTACATTTTGCACAAAACACCCAATTGTGGAATGTTCATTTCCATTTAAAAACTGTACATATTGCAGTTCATATGAATCAAAATGCATCAGCTTTGTTCATCCTATACAGAAAACTCAAACATGAAAGCAACTCCTTTATCCCAGTGTCCACAGGTATGATTCAAAGACTTGCAGAAAATAAAACACAAACTCAAAGCCTTTGGTCTGCTGAGGTACGAGTGAAGGCTTTCATCCCAAAACAAACTTCATTACGCTAGAAATATATGTTACAGCACTTCCATTTAATGCAGGTTTGTCTTTCCAAATTAGAGACAACTATTTATTCACAATTCATTGATTTGAAAACAATTAAAGAGAGATAAACAGATTTCTGTGTATAACTGATGATTCATAAAATGACAGCAGTGTCAGTGAAAACAAAATTGCATTGTGATTTTGAAGGAAAGCGAGTGCCGCCTTGAAGAACAGAGTTGGTATTTGGATAGATATTGAGATGAGGAGGAGGAGTCCTGTCAAAGTGCCCTAAGCCACACAGCTGATCCTTGATGGTAATCTGATCACCGTTACCCTACATTAAAACATCAGATAAATACACTTAAAACATCATTATCTACCTGCAGTGAAGCTCATGATTCTTATATTTGAACAACATGTCAGGATGTCTTTCAAAGAAAAAATAAAATAGATTCAGTGGGTCTGATAATAAAAATAAAAATATTTCCATTTCCTGTCAGCAGGAAATCATTATTCCATATCGAAGTCATTAAAAGCCACAAAATAAAACCAAAGAGGAGGGAGGCTGGAGTCTAATCTCTACTTTCTGAACACTAATGGAAATCACTGAGATGTAACAATCAATGATGGCCACCACACCGACAACAGAAGCTTTAGAAAGTTGCAACAGAAAGAGCAACTGCACCCAGAGCTCAATGTGCACAAATGTTACATAAAAACGGATCAATTCATATTACAATAATATATTTATTTAGTGTGTGTAAATTAAAAAGGCCTGAGCTCAAACTCTCAGTCTGAATAACAACACTGGACATTGTAAATTAGCCAAGAGGCAAATCCTGTAAAGCAATTGATAATCAAACAAACGTTTAAAAAACGGCATAAAGCCTTTTGTGGCTTCAGGGGGAGCAGCACAACATCTTATTACCTCACTCGAGTCTGCGGTCAATTGCATTGTGGGTTTTGTAGGCACCATGTTTTGACACAGGATGCAAGGAACTCATAAAGACGCATCTCTGGTTCTGCTGCATTCATTCTGATGCTATTTGAAAAACACAAATGTTATTGAAGTGCAACAGTACTTTGGGGGAGCACTGTATTAACAGAGTTGAACCCATTCTTCTGGTAAATGTTAGCCACGTCACATGTGTTTACAACCAGGCAGAAGGACGTCACATGCTAAGGTTAATTAGCTAACACGCTGGCCTATTTGAGATACAAAATAATCATTTTGATCAGTGAATGATGAAGTGATCATTCTCCAGCCAAAACCAACACAGAAACCAGCCACATGTTGGTTCTGTTCCTGAGCCAGGCAATCAGTATGTTTAAAAAAAGATGTTGACCTCAGAACTGGTCAGCTGAAAGCCCTTTAGAAACTGATGTCAGGTCAGCTAGGGCCCTACCAAAAACAACTAAAACACTTTAAAAAATTTAAAATCTTTAAATGTTTCTGACTGCTGAGGGCTCAACAGTCATTTGTCTTAATGATCTTCTGTCAAAATATAAATAATAAAACACAATTGGATGCAGTTCATTTTACTAGCGCAGAAATCCTCAAGACCCCCCTGTGAGATCTCAACCAGCGACTGACAGGATATTATAAATCTTCATTTACTTAACTGAGAGACACCAGAAATATCAGACCCACTGATCCAAATGGAAAAGCTGAGAGAGAGACAGTCCCTCCTCCTCGTTATTGTTGTTCTATTTAGATGTGTGGCGGTCACTCTGGTGATGGGTAGTGGGATGCTCTTCGTCCATCTTCTTCCTCATTAGTGAGTCTCATTGTTCCCAGCAGCCTCAGCCTGTGGAAACAAACACAGAGAGGAAGTGGTGAAGCGTGCGTTTACTTCTGTTCTCCCAAACATATCACAGTAACTGTAAAGTGTGCACACTTCAGAGGGAGCAGCCCCAGGGGAGAGTCCAGCAGCATCCTTCAGCTCCTCTGCTCACTGAGGAGTGCTGATCAATACGGACTCATGGAGCCTATATCATATCAACTGATAAGAAACTGGGGGAGCAGCTGGCCTGGCTATGTTCCAAGATAACAAAACACTTCATGGTGTTTGGATTATAGGTACAAATAGTAAGTCCAGTGTTTCCCCTATATACAAATAGCGGCGGTGCAGCATAGGGCTGGGGGGCGCTGCGCTGGTAGCTCTGGGAGGGGAAAAAACATTTTTGACCGTTGGCGCTCATCCTAATTTTCGGCCTTGATGTAACAACATTCATAATTAAGTAAATGTAACACCCTTTTCACCCCGGTTACACTTTTCATTTGCCCTGTACGATGGGCGCTGTAAGTGATAAAAGTGGGGGATGTTGGCTTATCAGGCAACCGCAGCTCACAGCCAAAGTGCGAGCGTGGGAGCGAGCGAGGGAGAGAGAGAGAGAGGGCGCACCGGTACCGGCGCTGTTGTTATTAGAATCTGGTGCTAGCTGCGCTAACGGATATAAGAAGTAGATGTTTCTACAACCAGGCTGGAGGAGAGCTCTCCTGTCAGACTGAGAGGCTCAGGGAGGTAAAGGACTCTCTCAGAGTTATCTCAGTGGGTCTCAAACGTTTTGACCACAAATTATGTAAACACATATTTCCAAGGCACTCCTTTATAATTATTAGGATAAATAAAAACAGGTTTGAAATCATTCCAATGTATACTATAGGACAGTAAACCAGACATATCGTTTGAAGTTGGAGAGATACAAAAATATGCATAAATAAATAAATGTTAACTAGGTAAAATAAGATATGAATGAACAACAAAAATAAAATAAGTTACATTTATTTGTTATTGGCTAAGGTAGGTTATTGGTTATGTTCATATACTTCTTTGATTATTAAAATGTAAACCGATCTTTTTCATATGGGTGTTTAGAGTTCCCCTAGATCAGAGGCCTGTACTACGAAGCTGGTTCAACTTAACCTGGATATGTTTGAGTTAGCCGGTTGGCCCAATCCAAAACATACGCGCTGCTCGCTAAAGCTGTACTACGACGCTGGATATCAAGTGGATCGCTCAAGCCAGCCGTGTCCTATCTAGTTAGGTGCGCGTTCACATGAAAGGGGTGGTATTTGGAGCATTCGACCAATCACAAACATGGACAAGCCGTGTACTGACAGCGCAGCGTCATACTTCCTGAATGAAAAGTGAACTTTAATATTAGTCAAATATGAAGAAGTTAAACTTTAAACATCCATGACTTAAACACTTTATCCAGGATAAAAGCCACATAGCTGCACCTGCAAGGTGAATACAGCTGGTAACAGAAAAAGTGTTTGAATGCGTACATTAACAGGTTTATGAAATCACTGCCCCGTCCAAGACACGATCTGACTTTAATTACATTTGACTTGAGTGTTTCGTCAACTTAATGTGTTGCTTAAAATAATACTTCTGCATACAGTATGTGACACTGTGAGTGTTGCACGGCCAGATACGGCTCAAGAAGCTGACTCAGATAAGGAAATATATGATACATTATGATGTGATATGATATGAATGATAATGGGACACATCGACGTCTGCACTCACAGTGCCGCGGACTGTACTTAATGTTACTCTGATCCGGTTACTTATGTTGTGGCAGATATTTAAGTAAGCTTTCTTAACGCTAATATTATAATAGTCAGATTGCTCTGAAGATGGGAGGGGATATTCTATTAATGTTCACGTTCACACAGTCAGGTGTTTTTTGCCGGCCGTCTTTCCTGCAACGGCAGTTTTTCTGTATTTCCTCTATCCTGTAATATGACTTGATAGCTTTAAACTCCGCACACGGAGCTCTGATTGGTCAGCAGGCGGTGCTTTCACTGAGTTGATCTCTTAGCCTGCCACCTAACCTGCTCCGGAGCAGGTTTGCCGCTCAGCATAAGTTACCATGGAAATCTAGCCTGCTAAGAAGAGAACCAGCGTCGTAGGACCGGAAAGCCCGAGATTTCCCTGAAGTTAGCCGGCTAAGCGAAAATCCAGCTTCGTAGTGCAGGCCTCAGGTCTCTAGTAATTGTGTGCTCAAAGTGCACCAGATTGAAGCATTTTACTTTAAAATGTTCAAACAAATCTTCCCGGGGGGGCATACCCCCGGACCCCCCTAGAGGATGTGACGTCCACCCCCCAATTAAAACATGTTCATACGATACTGAATACATTTGAAGCCATTTTGACGTATATTACCTATGTCAATAAGTTTCTGTTTTTGTAGTGTATTTGTCTTTTGTAGAGATTTTTCATTTATTCTTTATATATAAAATCTCGCCTAGGGCAGCAAATGGTCTAGAACCGGCCCTGGTACTAGGCCTCAAGAGCCTTTCTTGTGCTGGCAGACTACAAATTGGCGGGGCGCAGTTCGCACGCGCACACACTAAAGAATTCCACGCGCTCCGCGCTCACATTATGCTGGGCCTACGTGCCTTAGCACCGCTGCTATGACTCCATCCTAGGGGAAACACTGAAGTCTGGCACATACCCAGAGTTCAGTGATTCATGTTTTGTTTTTTTATTGTCAGACACTATTCATACTTGCCTCTTTACAATTATTTTATTTATTTATTAGAAAAACAACAAACAAAAAAAGTTGTCATGTTTAATCTTTGCTAAGTTATTCTCAAGTTCCGCCCATATCCTCTGGCACTACCAAACTGAACTTTTGTTAAATGGTTGCTTGTGTTTTGAAACTTTGTCTTTACCCGCCACCATCTTTGTCATAAGTGCCAGATTGGGGCACTATAGAGATGAGTAAAAAGCAAGATGGCTCACTCCTTTACAACTTCCACCATCAGCTCCAGAAAGCACATATTTGTCTATTCTGAAGGGCTGATAGCCCTATGTAAGAACCTGATTTGGTGATTATACACTTTAGTTTGTGTTTTGAACATGAACATGTAAATGAGTGAGCTACAGAGGTGCTGGTGGGCAGATCCATTCTAGCGGACCCCCCTGTACCTAGAGCTAGGTCAGCTTGTTGCAGCATCGACACAAGCAGGAAAGTGGTATCCATCTTTCCCAAAGTGTTGTACATTTCTATGGATACAATAAAATGTGTTTTTTTCTGAATATAAACACTGAAACAGCTTTAGTGTTTATTTAGTATGGGCGTTTGCTGGTACTTGAGTGTCAGATATTCCACTGTGGAGCCTCACAAGGTTTAATTCAATCACACTTCAAAAGCGTCTCCGCTCTGTCTGCCATCATCGGTCCAGCAGCTCATTTCCTCTGAAAAACCTTTTCAAACTTAATTGTGCCTCTAATTCCCTGGTTTCCTGATCTCCACCCTGACACCAACACACACACACAGATACATCAACAGCCATGTGTGTGCATGACACAAACACACACACAATGCCCACATGAGCTCATCTGGCTTCTGCTGCTTATCACTAATGAGTCATCAGAAGAAATGTAACTGGAAAATGAGGCTTTTACACAAGAGTAGAAAACACAGAAACATTTTCCTTCCTTGGAATTCAAAGTGTTGATCTGTATATGCTCTACTGATCATCAGAAATGAGTTTGTTATAGTTTCTTTTAGAGAGAGTAAGTAATAACAGGATGACCAACATGTAAGGGAGACACTTTGTAAAGATAAAAAGGCCACTGTCAAAAGGAAAGCAGAAAACAAGAAATAACAGACTATATAGAAAATGGCATATCATCATTTTGCAAAGTGTCTTTTTTCCCCAACCACCGGTCCAAAACTCAATATAGAATTAGAGATATAAGAGAAGAAAAAGACATGCATCCTCACACTGAAGGAGCTGAACCAGAGTATGTATGGCCTTCAAATGGGAGGGAATGATCAATTGATTATCACATTATTTTAGGGTAGAATCTTTTCACATCACAACATTGACTATCAAATACGTTATGCTGCGCAACCGTTTTGTACATTTATTCATTCTGTTTAAACTCAAATTGCAGATAAGGAATAAATCAAACTAATGTTATTTGTATTAAAGCCTTGTTTTTGTACACAATTTAGATTAAGAAATGATATTCAGTGAAGGCTCTACAGCAGCTCTAATGAAAGGGGACAAACAACAACGGCACAAACCTACTTCAATGTCTGACATGTGGACAGTCTTGTGTCTCTTCTAGTGTCCTTTTGACTGTTACACAACCTAAATAAAATGGACATCACCCCCTCACTAAATCGATTAAATGTTTCCTTAACATCCAGTACGTACACATCCCAAACCTTTTAATGAAGATATCCAGCTCAAACTCGTATTAGGATGACTTGTGCCCCTTTCACACCAACGCAACTCCGGTTCAAGCTCCGTGCTAGAGCTTTTCTGGTTCAGAACCGGTTCTTCGGTTTAGCGCCGGCTCTTTTCACACCGCTCAGAGCCCGACTGGTGCTGCCGCTGCTGCGTCATGACGTCACAGTTTACGTCGCTGAGTTTCTCCCCAACGCCGGAGCTCACCTCACAATAGTGATGGGAATTATGGCTCTTTGAAGGGAGCCGGATCTTATGGCTCCGTTCCTTTCAAAGAGCCGTTCAAAAGAGCCGTTCAAAAGAGCCGTTTTTTTAAGGTTACTAGGTTTATCTGCAAAATAATCACCAGGATAATGATTGACTGTATTGCCAGACCTAATGTCAATAATCGGCATTGTAAACATGACACAAGGTGGCGCCATATCCATGTCATCATGTCAGTGAATGTACTTTGAATTTACCCTCTGTATGTGTTAAGTAAATAAAGTTGCCTTGCCTTGAATGAAATTCATGCAACTCTTAATATTAGATACTGTGTTTTTAAGTGGCGATGGAGATTATTTGTTGATCCTGCTTTAAAGGATATTTTGCCTTTACAAATGGTGCGCTTTATCACTGCCTGGGTTTTGGTTGAAGTGAATCCAAATGCTGCTGCGTTTTCGCGTTTGGCTCATTTTCCATCCGAAAAACACGTTGTCTACCTGTCCTGTACCACTTGTTATGACTTCTCTCTCTCGCGTATTCCGTTAAGACCCACCCCATCTCACTCCTCGTGCTGAAACCTACCAAACAGAGTAGGGGCGGGTCTTCACAGAATACGTTTGGGGAACAAAATCAAGCTTTTTAAAAGGCGAGTGGATTTTGGCAGGCAGTGAGTGCGGACCAACGATTGAACGATAACAAGAACGGCTCTCACCAAGTAGGACTCGGTTCCCCTCGTTCGTACCAAAGAGCCGTTCAAAAGAATCGGCTCGTTCGCGACCGACACATCACTACCTCACAATAACAACGGGCCGGGGACTGCGTTGCTTTTAATCATACGAAGCCAGATTAAATTAAATAACGACTTCTCCAACCTTATACTTTTCTCCAGAGTGCCGTGGTTCATTGTTTATTAATGTGTTTCAGCGGCATTTACCGACCGCTGCAGTGCTGGCCGGCTGCTCTTCCACGAGTGTATTCTCCCGTTAGCTCCGGGTTAGCTCACACGGCTCTAAAGTATTCACTGTCTGACTGTCACACAAGCAGCTGATACATATCCCCAGTTCCCCTTAAGTGAATGTGTGTCAGTCTGAATTGACGCTGTTTGGTGTCAGTCTGAATTGACGCTGTTTGGCATCACAACGCTGTTATGAAAGTTTCTCTGGTATAACATGGGTGATGTTAGCATAGCAACCGAAGCTAAACTGACTACAGGCACTTTTTACCGACGTATTTTTCATTATGATTCTACTTGTGATAGTCGGACATGACAACCTGTGCAGCCCATGTATTGATTCCATCCGATAGCTGCTATAATAACAAACAAAACGTCTGCCTGCTCTCCACAATGATCAATAACAGCGAACGGATGGTCAAAGTAAGGTACAAATAAACAGAATCACACGAAGCCTGGTTAGTGTTGCCTGACTCTATAAAGTGTGTTTTTTTTTAACAAGTGTGTGGTTGCGTTCTAGTCACTTTGCTCAGCACTACTGCTTGTTACAACTTTTATTTGCCGTACTCGCCTTAAGTGTTAGCTCAGGTTAATCTCGCCCCCCTCCGACGTAAGCGTGACGTATGCGGTTCTTGCTTCTAGACGGACAACTTTTTGGTGCTCGAAACGAACCGGATTCCGGAGCTATGACGCTGCTCCGCTGCGGTGTGAACAGGAAAACCCGGTGCTTTTCAAGCACCAGCACCGAACCGGCCCTGAAACACCGTTGGTGTGAAAGGGGTATTGGAGTATTTTTGAAGGGCAAGGAGAAGGTCATTCAGCGGTTCCCTGATGGTTTTAACATGAATCTCAACAGCACACCAGATTCTTACTTCTAGGTTTTCACACCATTTTAAGCTCACAGTAGGCACAGTTCTTACATTGTTTTCCATAAACTTAGCCATTAGCCAAAGTGATAAGACCACAACTACAGGCGTTGTGGTTGTAAAGACAGAATCTAAAGACTGAGTGATGGTCTGAGGTTTATTCACTCAGCTCACTCCCTGACCGCTGTGTGTAGAAACAGTAGCTGGAGGGATGGATCATGCAGTTCAGTGAGGAGGACTCATTCCCACTGATGGAGGAAGATGTACAGGGTAAAGAATCACGGTATTATGGGGTGCTTTGGATCCAAGAGGCATACTGTATAACTTCAATACCAATAAAAGGGTTTTCACAAGATGGCATTGAATAAAAAAAACAGCAATAGCCTGAAGACATACCGTTGTCCCTCCACACACTAAAAGCAAAGGGCACATTTTTTAGTATTTGTATTTTTTTGGCCTTTGAAATTGAAACTGATAGTTAACTTTGTCCCCAACTGAAAAACAACTATACAGTCAGTGGCCACTTTATTAGGGACACCTGTTCAACTGTTCTTTAACGCAAACACCTAATCAGCCAATCACATGGAAGCAACTCAATGCATTTAGGCATGTAGACACAACCTGGTGAAGTTCAAACAGAGCATCAGAACGGGGAAGAAAGGAGATTTAAGTGTCTTTGAACATGGTTGTTGGTGCCAGAGGGGCTGGTCGGAGTATTTCAGAAACTGCTGATCGACTGGGATTTTCACACACAACCATCTATAGGGTTTACAGGCAATGGTCCGAAAAGGGGAAAATATCCAGTGAGCAGCAGTTCTCTGGGAGAAAATGCCCTGTTGATGCCAGAGGTCAGAGGAGAAAGGCCAGACTGGTTCAAGGTGATAGAAAGGCAACAGTTACTCAATTAGCCACTAGATACAACCAAGGTATGCAGAAGACCCTCTCTGAACCTCAACACGTGGAACCCTGAAGCAGATGGGCTACAGCAGCAGAAGACCCCACCGGGTGACCCTCCTGTCAGATAGGAACAGGAAACTGAGGCTACAATTCACACGGGCTCACCAAAAAAATGTTGCCTGGTCTGATGAGTCTCGAATTCTGCAGCGACATGTGGACGGTAGGGTCAAATTTGGCGTAAACAACATGAGAGCATGGATCCATCCCGCTTTGTATCAACGGTTCACACTGGTGTTATGGTGTGGGGGGTCTTTTCTTGGCATATTTAGTACCAATTGAGCATTTTTTTAAACGCCACAGCCTACCAGAGTGTTGCTGCTGACCATGTCCATCCCTTTATGACCACCGTGTACCCATCTTTTGGTGGCTACTTCCAGCAGGATAACGCCATGTCTCGAATATCTAATTATCTCCAACTGGTTTCTTGAACATGACTTCATGAGTTCACTGTTCTCAAATGGCCTCCACAGTCACCAGATCTAAATCCTATAGAGCAGGGGTTTTCAAAGTGTGGGAAGGTGAGCCTCCCCTCAGAGAACATAAGAACAGCTGCGCCCCCCCTCCCAATTATTATTGCTATTATTATTATTATTGTTGCTATAATGCAGGGGTATTCAATTGCATTTCAAAGAGGTCCAGTAAGAGAACATGTCATTAAATGCTCTGTTTTCGCCGTCTACCTTTCTCTTTTTTGAGCACACCATTTGAAATGACTCCGACTGTTTCTCTCCTCTTGTCTCGTCTCTGTGTGTTTGAATCTTTCGTGCTGACTCACTGACTGCACCGATTTGATTGGCTGAGTAACGTCACCTCCTTAAAACATTAAATAACTTTTTTAAACCTTTTTATCTTTATGTTTTAAACATATTGTATAAAACTCCCCCACTACTTGGACTATTTTCCAACACAATCTCTGGAGGAAGATGTACCCTTCAAGTGTTTTTTGTTATTTACCCCTAAAAGCATGGTTTCCGCAGGGACTGCATGTGTCTTCTTCTGCGGCTGTACAAGGCCTTCGTTTAAAAACTAGTGGTTGTTCAAATTCAAAAGATGAAAATGATCCTTTAACAAATCCTATTGTGATTAATCATTCCCTGAACACATCTCCTCCCACAAACAGTTCTGCAAGAAAGCAATTTCCTAACATGGACACGTGTGGTTTAACAAGTTGAGAAAGTTGATCAAATTGATAAAACGCTTTCACTCCTATTCCGCAAATAGGAGGTCCAATAAATGCATCCCTCTTTGGACTGATGTTCTACTCTGAGCTGTTTGATAAACACAGGCACTGATTCGTGAAATGATCTCCAATTTGGCTCGGCTCAGAAACATGTTGTCACCCTCTCAATCTGTGCAGCAGATTAAATCCACATTTGTTCAGGACATTCAGGGATAACTGCTGCCAGATGACACAAAGCAGCCAACATAGCAGCTACATCTAACATGTCCGCCTCTTGGGATTCTTATACACCTGGATATAGTGTTTGTTTTTATTTATGAGCGTAACACTTTTTAAATCAGCAATAATGCAGCAATTTAGATTGATTGAATTTTGTGTGGGACATTTTAGGCAGATGACATCAATGCACAGCAGACAAGCCAGCATTTCACTTTGATAGCTCTTTTTCTCTCACCTCAACAGTAACAAATGAGTAACTTAAATTAAAATGTTGCTTCGACACCTAGAAAAACTGAAACTGAGAATGGGACGCATCACACCGAGGTTTGGTCCTGTAGGCAGCATGCGAGCCACAGAAGAATGGAAAACAGAATAGATTTTGACATGACGAGGAAGATGAGGAAGGATGGAGCCAGCATGCACCACACAGGCAGAAAGTACATCACATAAGAGAAGATGGAGCTCATACTACAGCTGGATCACAAACAGGAAGAGGGGTCTTGATTGGGTGGAGGAGAGTCATGTCAGATCAAACCAGGCAAAATGTTGCGTGTGGGTAAATATATTTTTGGATTTGTTGTGCCACCAAACATTATCATTACGTTGAAGGAGAAAAAGAAAAGAAAAGAAAGCAAGGCTGAGTAAGCACGAGAACCACAACATTGAAAACAAAGCAGGTCTCCCTTGAAAAAGAGATCAATGATCTCAATGGGATACAACCTGGATAAATAAAGGTTTGAAATGAAATGAAATGAAAGACTCAAATAAACACCTTTACAAGATAAAAAGACAAAGCATGGGAGGGCTTTAGCACCGAGGGTTTCTTACAGTACGACAGTCTGAGTGACTGATATGGACTGTACCTGAGGGCGTCTGCTGGGAGGACTCCTCTGTCTCTGCTGCAGGAGCGTCTTCCGTCTCAGCGGGCGTCGTGTCCTCATCTTTCTCTCCAGCAGATTCAGAGGAGCTCTGCTCAGCCTGCAGGGCGGCTGGAGGGGAGTCCAGTTTCTCAGCTGTCAGAAGTAAGTGTACGTTACAGTGTCATTCCTGCAATCTGTTTTACCATCTAAGACACTTGGTGCAGTCCAAAACACTTCAATGGTTTTTCTTCTTGTGTCACATGGGGTTCACATTCTTAGTTCAGAGTGAAATACAGTATATTGACAGACAATGGATGGATTGTCATAATACTGCACACATTGAAGCCCCCAATTAATAACGTTAGGGATTAACGGGCACATCTTCATGACAGAGCATTGTGACTGGCTCTAACTTTGCTTAGAAAAACCTGGGACTAAGACGGCTACAGGGGTCTGCGCAATGTTGGCAATGTGTTTATCATTAACCTGTTTTTTGAGAACAAAAATAGTTTACAAGGGCACAAAGATCTTCAAATATAACCTCTTTCTTTGCTGTTAAAGTACAAATGTTTAGGTTTAAGGTTCACGCAGCACAGCTTCACAAAATGATTGATGATCATTGAGGATCTATAATTTGGAGTCCTACTTGTGTCCTTTTTTAGACTCTACCTGGTCAAGTCCTGAGGGAAATATCTGGCTCTCTATGTGCTAAATGCTCCAGTCAGTGTTCAGCGGCTAGCCTCTAAATGTGCCCGTCTGCTGTTTGCTGCTGAAGGATCCAATGTGTTTTTAAACGGAGCAGAAATAGAACTAGTCTCCCACTTCAAGTATCTTGGAGTCATAATGGACTCGAACTTGACTTTTAAGAAACATATTAAGAAAGTATCCAATACCATTAAATTCAACTTGCAACATTTTAAACAAATTAGACCTTTCTTAACTGTCAATGCTGCAAAGTCATACCTCCACTGTATGATTCTATCCCACATTGAATACTGTTTGACAAACTGGTCGTTTGCTTGTGCCACAAACCTGAAACCTATAGAACAGCTGTACAAGAGAGCTATCAAGGTGTTTGACAGAAAGCCTAATTCATACCACCACTGTACCATCCTTGAGAAACACCATTTCTTGAGTTTTGACGATTTTAAGTCTTTTAAAAGTATGTGTTTTTTTTATAAATGTTTACATGGACTGGCCCCCCCCCCCCTCCCTTAGGGGAATTCATCCACAGAAATCCCACTGGACGCTGCACTAGGTCAGAAACCAGAGGAGACTGTGAAGTCCACCACAGACGGACAACTTTTGGACAAAATGTCCTCTCCATTAAAGGCAGCTCTTTGTGGAATAGCCTCCCAACTGAGATACGGGATTGTCCCACTCTCAATAGTTTTAAAAGGTCAACTAAAAAAATGGTTGAGAAACAAACAGACGTGTAATCACCGCTAAATGCACTTTCACACAGGGGTCTCTCCTCTTGCACTTTATGTAGCACTTTTATCTTATCTTGCACTTTATATGTCGTAGCTGCTACATTGTACCGCCATGTGGTAAATACTTGTATGCTGCTCATGCTCTTTCTGCATATCATGTATTTATTTTTGCTATGTATATAAATGTCATGTTCTTAAATGTTGTATGTGACAGGACTACGAATGGAAATTAGCTCAAAGCTAAAATCCGGCTCATTTACACTTGTAAGCATTATTTTGTTTTAAAGTGTTCATCAATGTGCATTGTCCCGATTCAAATAAACGATTAAATGAAATTTAAAAAATCTTATCCGGGAAAAACTGAAAATGTTTATTTCTACCTTAACGCCCTCCTGTTGTCTTTGCGGTTGACCAATTTACAATTTCTCGCTCTAAAATGTTTAGTTAATTTAATCTGTTTGTCATAAGGTTCCTTGACTTTGTTCACACATGGCATCTGAACACTCAAAACTAAATTTTGAGATTTAAAAATAAAATAGGAATCTCATAGCGGGGGCCGGTCTGGCGAATGGCGGAGTAAGCTGCTAGTCGGAAGAGCTCTGTCACCATTTAACATTTATTTGTAATTTGCCCTACTAATTTCCCACCTAAACTTGCAAGGCCTGCTTCTAAGAGTGACTTTGACTTGGTGTCGACTGTACACGATTTGTCATGGGGAGGAAGACCAAGAAAAGCGATGAAAGCGACGGCGGAGGCGAGGAGGGCTGTGAGTTAGCTTCACAAGCTAGCAACAACTCCGCACATGGCGAGGTCGGCAACCAGGCGCTGTCCCTCTCTGACATACAGAAACTACTCGCCGGCATGGAAGAGCGTATAATTGGAAGCTTGACAGCACAAATAACATCCAACCACGCAGCTATAATCAGGCACGATGAGACAATCCAGGCCATTGAAACGTCAATGAACGACTTCCAAGGAAGAATAACTACAGTGGAGTCTACACTGGCTGATATAGTGCAGGAGAACAAACAACTGAAGCTGAAAGTTGACGACCTTGAAAACAGATCCAGGAGGTGTAATATTCGTATAACAGGTATACCTGAGCGAGCTGAGGGTGCCCGTCCAACTACTTTCATTGAATCCTTTCTGGCTGAAATATTCGGCCCCGGCGCGTTTCCTCGCCCCTTGACCGTGGATAGAGCACACCGGCTGGCCATCCAGAGGAGACAAGACGGCGCACCGCGTCGCTTCATAGCCTGCCTTCACCACTTCCAGATGAAACAACGAATAATGCAGCTTGCACGGGAGAAGGGCCCAGTGTTTCCCCTAGGATGGAGTCATAGCAGCGGTGCTAAGGCACGTAGGCCCAGCATAATGTGAGCGCGGAACGCGTGGAATTCTTTAGTGTGTGCGCGTGCGAAGTGCGCCCCGCCAATTTGTAGTCTGCCAGCACAAGAAAGGCTCTTGAGGCCTAGTACCAGGGCCGGTTCTAGCCAATTTGCTGCCCTAGGCGAGAATTTAGGCGAGATTGAGATTGAGATTTATTGATCCTAATAATTATAAAGGAGTGCCTTGGAAATATGTGTTTACATAATTTGTAACACATATGTGTTTGAGACCCACTGAGATGACTTAGACTAAAATTACCTATCTAAACACTCAGAGAGTCCTTTACCTCACTGAGCCTCTCAGTCTGACAGGAGAGCTCTCCTCCACCCTGGTTGTAGAAACATCTACTTCTTATATCCGTTAGCGCAGCTAGCACCAGATTCTAATAACAACAGCACCGGTACCGGTGCGCCCTCTCTCTCTCTCTCTTCCTCGCTCGCTCTCTCGCTCCCACACTCGCACTTTGGCTGTGAGCTGCGGGCGCCAGATAAGCCAACATCCCCCACTTTCATGACTTACAGCGCCCATCGTACAGGGCAAATGAAAAGTGTAACGGTGCGTCTACACAGCAGCATTAAAAAAATCTTGAAACGCTTCTGCCCATTCACTTTGAATGGGGTGACGTCACTTTCCCTCACTTTTCGCCGAAATGCATTGTGGGCAGGCGAGCGGAGATTTTCAGGATTTTGAGGATTCAAAGTTGAACAATGTTCAACTTTTGAGGCTGAGGTGGAAGCGTCAGCCAATCAAATCCCGTGTACGCAAATCTGACAGTTCAAGCTCTAGCCAATCAAACGGCGTGTATGCTGGGAGAGACATACCGCAGGTCATTTCCTCATATTCCAAAAAATGGAGGAGAAATGAGCGGTAGCGAATCAATCACCCGGTGCTTTATGACCAGACCTACCGGGATATAAACCGGAGGAGCCAGGCATGGAGGGAGGTGGCAGAGACAGTGGTATGTTTTCGCCTGTTTGGGGAGTTTATATCCAGTTTACTTCGGGCTTTTTTGCTTCGTATGTCGCGGGCGGGAGATTCATGTGATTGGTTGCTCGCAAAAAATCCTCAAGCTTCAGATACGCCCACCTCCAAGATTTTTTTAACGCTGCTGTGTAGACGTACCGTAACGGGGGTGAAAAGGGCGTTACATTTACTTAATTATGAATGTTGTTACATCAAGGCCAAAAATTAGGATGAGCGCCGCCGCTATTTGTATATAGGGGAAACACTGGGGCCCCCTGATGTACAGAGGCGCAGAGATCCACATATATGCGGATTACAGTGCAGAAGTAGCCAGGAAGAGAGCCGCATTTACCCCCATCAAGTCCTCGCTGAGAAACGCCGGGCTCGCTTACAGCCTCCTCTTCCCCGCTAAACTCCGGGTTGTTGTGGACGGGACGAGGCACGAATTCAACTCTCCGGCTGAAGTTGCTGCTTTTTTGAAGCGCCGTCAACCTGCTGCAAACTAGATGTGTTGGACTAGCCGGTGAGTGAACCAAGCTGCTGGCTAATTAAGCCGACCGGCAAGTGGACACTGAGTATATTCTTTCGTAGTTTACGAGCATTGTGCTCCGAAAATAAGACAAAAGAGACAATGTTACGAATTACTCGTCAGGAGGTAACAGTTACATATTGCTATTGCTGCTTAACTGTTAATTGGTTACTAATATTAATTCTACCATCACAACAACCAGTCATAGTACCTGGTATGTTCATTTTTGACACTGGTTGAGCACATATCTTGCTCTGGCTTTTACGTTTCCTCTTCTGATAAAAGCTGTCGGCTCTCCCTTACCGGCAGAGTAAGATTCAAAATACAGCTGATCCGCACCCTATTGAACATTTAAGAGCTGCTTGGGAATCTGATCTGGGAAGAACTTTGACGGATGACCAGTGGGAATCAGTCATGGACCGGGTGCACACATCTTCCTCTTCTGCTAAACACAGCCTGATACAACTGAAAGTGGTACACAGAGCTCATTTAACTAACGCTAGATTGGCTAAAATGTATCCAGAGGTTGAACCGTCTTGTCCCCGATGCAGAAGCCAGCCAGCAGACCTAATACACATGTTTTGGGTATGTCCCAGCCTCTTTACTTTCTGGAGATGTATTTTTAAATCTTTTAGTGAAATGTTTAAAACTCGTGTTGAGCCTGACCCGCTCTGTGCCCTTTTTGGTTTGGCACCAAAGGTGACCTGTGCATCCCTACCAGAGTGGTGGGATTGAAATGAAGATTTTGATTTGTCAGCATGTGTGTATATATCTTTACTGAATCTATATCACTTGCTTTTGTTAAAAAAACTGAGAAAATCAATACAAATATTTACCATATAATCTCATAGCACAAAGTTAAAAAAAAAGTGTTTTATTGACCACCCAGTGCACCCTCTGTCTTCCCAGTCAGACATGACCGGTCATTAAAAATGAATGGGTAAGATTACAATTAGTGTATAAAATGGGTTGTGTGTGTCTCAAAACATTTCTCAAATGTTCAAGTACAATGCCCCTTTTTTTTGCCCCACACTCGTTTGTAACAGTTTGCTAAACTTTACCGCGGGAACCACACTCGTTTGTAACAGTTTAATAAACTTTAAACTTTATAAATCATACCAGTCAGTTTTGATTGGGAAGTTGAATTTGGGTGGGGTGGCAAGTGTGGGGGCAAGACTTTCGTCTGTGGTGGCACTTGCCACCCTGTTCCACCCCGTAGATCCGCAACTGTTGGGAACATGGTATTTTGTGTCACTTTATAATAATTTTCAATGGTTTCAAAACAAAAGTCATTGTTAGACATTGAAACTGGGTAAAATAGCACAATAAGTCTAATCTAATATATATACAAGGTGGCGTTGGTCGGTGGGCATGATGGGACAATGTCTGGCCATAAATAGCAAATGGAAGTTCACAACTGGTATTATTCACAATCATTTGAGTTGATAAAACACTGAAACACAACATTAGGTGATAATATATGTATTATTATGGATTTAGACCTCAAGTGCAGGAGGAAACCCAAGTGAGCACGGGGAGAACAAACTACACACAGAAAGGCCCCAGCGAGATAGCCCACCTGGGGGCTTGGTGTCCAGAGTTGTGAATCCATGTCTTCCTTCTGTTGGTGATTTTTTTCTGACGGGGCATTTTATTGCTAAACATTTAACAACTAGCACTCTCAAAGCTGACAGTACTCTGTGTTCACATTTCCCAAATGTGTAATAGTGGCAAATATCGGTACAGACTATTTAAAGGACACCTATCATGCTATATTTAAATGATATATTGTAGGGCCATACCTATATAAGGTATATTTATACGTTTCTGTTTTCAAAATACCAAACAGATCATGCATTTTAGCCATGCCTCATTTCGCTCGATTTGCTGTTCTCCAGCACTGCAGGGGGCTGATTCTGTGAGCTGGAGCTGACCACGCCCCCCTGCAGGAGAGGGGAGCCGCTCTGATCAAGTCAGAAGAGGGGGAGAAAAATAGATGTCCGTCCTCCGTGTTTTATTATATTATTATATAGAGTCATTATTCATTTGTTTTAAAGCTCAATAAATAACAAAGAAGACCTTTGACCGGCACTTTTCTAATTTTGTCCGGAAGATTTAAACTTTAACGGACATCTTGACCGGCGAAAGAAAACCTAACTGAAACTCTGCCGCACGGTCCCCTCGTTCTTTGGAAGAGGCGGAGAGGTGGGTGTTTGTCATCTGCTGGTGGACTAACCGGAGAGAATTACAGTGCTTGCCTCGACGGGGAGGGATTGCATTGAATTAAAGCAGCGGGAGCAAACGCTTGCCTCAGGGAGGGAGAAAAAAAGCCACAGCGAAGAATAAACAGAAGGGTAACCATGGTAACTATGGGCGGGAAGTCTTCTTCGCTGCTTTTGTGGCAGACTACAGCGCCACTTACAGGCCTGGCATATGTACTACAGCGTCTCCAGCGCTTTCGAGCGGCAATGGCCAGCCGTGGCCCAACCCCACATTCCCCTGATAGGTGGAGAGTTGGCCCAATAGCCGTAGCGCCACCGTCCTGACGTCAGGACAGTGTTCAAATCTGGATCAGTTTTTATCAGATCCGTTGCAGCCCCTTTTTTAGAGATTTGGGTATGGAGGAAAATAGAGAGGGTTGTGTTTTCTGACACTTGGTGAGTTCCCTGGAACACCGGGGACACATATTCATGTAGAAAAGACGTACAAAAGTGCATTTTGCATGATAGGTTCCCTTTAAATTAAGTTTGTTTAAAGCAATGGTCATCTTACTTTGAAGGACTTTTCAGTGAATCATAGTGTCCTTTTTTCCTGTTTTTTGTTCCACCCCAGATGCACCAAGGATCCAGCTGATTACTGCCAATTTGGAGGAGGATTGTTGTCCGGTGATTGACTGTCATTCATTGAACTTTAGTGGTGTGGTATGTTTTGATTTTACTTGGTAATACACTGTATATATATCATCTGAATCAGACACACACACACACACACACACACACACACACACACACACAGTGGTTTACATATTAAAAGTTGTGTTTCATTTAAGGTCTGTACTGTAATTCTACAAAAAATGAATCATTAAATGTTGTCTTTAGATTGTACTTCTATAGGTTTAACATTACATACTGTCTTTAAACATTACATCTAAACAAACACTGCAAGCTAAAGTTTGAAATTATTTAATCTGTTTCAGCTGTTTACCGCTCTTGCTTCCAAAATAAAACTGTTATTTTAAAACCTTGAGCCAGTGTTAACACTTTATTGAAGGTGTTTGGTCTTCTGTGAAATAACAGTGTTTCTCTGCTGAGTTTCTAATGCGTCAATTTATTGAAGGTGTTTGATTGTAATAATTTAGGGAAAACCTGTAAAATAACAGTGTTTCTCTGCTGAACTTTAAGTTCTGTCAATTTATTGAAGGTGTTAAATAACAGTTTTTACATGCTTAACTCTAAAGTATGTCCGTAATAAATAAGGGAAGATACCTGTAAAATAACAGTGTTTCTCTGTAAAGGAAATTAATTATATTTACTGTGAATTTACGTTTTTTTCACATTATTGTAATTAGGGTATTTCACTGTAATTTGACGGTAAGTGTTTGGAAGCACCAGCTGCCAGACTTTTTACAGTGCAGCCTCGCAGAGATGCTAGCATGAGTGCAGACTTTTAGCCGTGTTTAGTTTGTTATTTGAGTTTTTTCATACCTTTTGTTACAGCAGCAGGGGTTTCCTCGTCCACCGTCTCTGCAACCTCATGGACCTGAGAGGGGGCGGGGTCAGATGGCAGTGCAGCGGGGGATTCTGTGGGGTCGGAGTCTGGTTCTGACACTATGACAGACTTTTCTGAAGGAGAGGAGACATCTAGGGCTGAGCGTAGGAGATGGAGAGGAGGTGAAGAAGGGATACAGGAAGTAGAGTGAGAGGAGGCAGGGATGGAGCGAGAGGGAAAAGAGAAAGTAGAGATGAGACACATGGACAATGGAGCAGAGATGAACAGAAGATAAACCTGCCTTTAGTTCCTACCTGTGTTCTCCTCCTGCTGTGGCTCAGCACGTTCAGTCTGTCCCTCCTGCTCCTCCTCCAACTCCTTCTCCTGCTCCTTCTCCAGCTCCTGCTCCTTCTTCTGGGGTGGGCTGGCCTCCACGCTGGGGGGTTTCAGGGGACTCTCGCCTCCCATGCTGCTCCGGGGCGACAGCATCTCCATCTCCTCCCCCCAGTCTGAAACAGGCTGGTGGCTCTCCAGAGGGAGGAAGGGGCTGAGGGGCTTTCCTCCCTCCGGGGACTCCTGAACTGTTGGTGGGGGGATGTGGACCTTCGGCCTGGGGGGGCGCTGCTCTTTGGGGCTTCCTGCTGATGTTGGTCGTGAGCGAGGTGTGGGGGAGTTGTCTTTGCTCTTGGTTTGTTTCTCTCTCCCGACGTCTTTCTTCTCATCGCCTCTGGAGTCCTGTTCTGAGTCGCTGACTTCGTCGTCTTCTCCACCACTGGCATCCTCCCACTCTTCATCGTCGTCTTCTCCGTCTCCGTCCTTCACCTCCACCTGAGGGGAACAAATGGAATGAGGAGATTACTGGGAAAGTTATTGAAGAGTTTGCTTTTTTTTTTAAACTGCCACAACTAAGCAGTTGCTGATAAGGTCAACCTGAGGCCTGTACTACGAAGCTGGTTCAACTTAACCTGGATATGTTTGAGTTAGCCGGTTGGCCCAATCCAAAACATACGCGCTCTCGCTAAGCTGTACTACGACGCTGGATATCAAGTGGATCGCTCAAGCCAGCCGTGTCCTATCTAGTTAGGTGCGCGTTCACATGAAAGGGGTGGTATTTGGAGCATTCGACCAATCACAAACATGGACAAGCGTACTGACAGCGCAGCGTCATACTTCCTGAATGAAAAGTGAACTTTAATATTAGTCAAATATGAAGAAGTTAAACTTTAAACATCCATGACTTAAACACTTTATCCAGGATAAAAGCCACATAGCTGCACCTGCAAGGTGAATACAGCTGGTAAAAGAAAAAGTGTTTGAATGCGTACATTAACAGGTTTATGAAATCACTGCCCCGTCCAAGACACGAGTGGATCTGACTTTAATTACATTTGACTCGAGTGTTTCGTCAACTTAATGTGTTGCTTAAAATAATACTTCTGCATACAGTATGTGACACTGTGAGTGTTGCACGGCCAGATACGGCTCAAGAAGCTGACTCAGATAAGGAAATATGATACATTATGATGTGATATGATATGAATGATAATGGGACACATCGACGTCTGCACTCACAGTGCCGCGGACTGTACGTAATGTTACTCTGATCCGGTTACTTATGTCGTGGCAGATATTTAAGTAAGCTTTCTTAACGCTAATGTTATAATAGTCAGATTGCTCTGAAGATGGGAGGGGATATTCTATTAATTTTCACGTTCACACAGTCAGTTGTTTTTTGCCGGCCGTCTTTCCTGCAACGGCAGTTTTTCTGTATTTCCTCTATCCTGTAATATGACTTGATAGCTTTAAACTCCGCACACGGAGCTCTGATTGGTCAGCAGGCGGTGCTTTCACTGAGTTGATCTCTTAGCCTGCAACCTAACCTCCTCCCGAGGAGGTTAGCCGCACAGCACAAGTTACCATGGAGATCTAGCCCGCTAAGAAGAGAACCAGCGTCGTAGGACCGGAAAGCCCGAATTTTCCCTGAAGTCAGCCGGCTAAGCGAAAATCCGGCTTCGTAGTACAGGCCTCTGGTAGCAACGGTTGGGCTATTTACACACTCAACATTTACTCTCCTTTGTTGACAATTAGATTTGTCTCTACCAACTCCTAAGGGACATTTCTGGCTTTGTCTTACTTTGTATTAATGCTGTGTGTCGCAGGCAGGTAGAATACAGCATTCAGACATTCAAACAGCCTATAGAGTTGAGGGGAACTGTAGTCGGCAAAGTAAAATATGACAAGAAGATATACAGTACATAATAGCTGTATTTTTCTTTTTAAATGTTAGTTGAATGCTCCGTTTCTTTCGTAAATGAGGAGGAATTAAGTGTTTGCGAGTTCACAAGGAAATATCTAGTATCAATCATGTCCAGTTTAGTCCATCGTTGTGCCTCCACCTGCTGTACATTAACGGTGACGCTGCCGGAATGGTTCGTCCCGATGAAGCCCCCTACCTTCTGTGTTGGAGGAGATTTGGATTTTTCTGCCTCCTTCTCGTTCTTTTTAGCCCTCTGCTCTCTCTTCGTCTTGTCTTCCTTCTCTTTCTCCTCCTCTTCTTCTTTGTCTCCCTCCCAGCGGTTGTCATGCATGCTGCGAAAGATACGCACATATGTGTTCAACACAAAATCTGTGATGGAAGCAGCAAACACCAAACTCTCATATCTATATATATATATAGATATATATATATATCTATATATATATCATTATAGTCTCCCTGCAAACATAACATACCTTTACCAAGTAAACTAATCAAGGAAGAGAAAGTAATAAGAATATAAATTTTTCCTAAAATGTTAATATCATAACAAATGTATTCTAATTATAGAGTAGTAATGCTTTATTACAAAATGTAAAATGGACAAATGATCTTTTTGTTGTTGAGATATCTGTAAAAAAGAAAATCCAAATAAAATTGAAAATAATAATTAGATGTTAAAAGTGATAAAAAGAAACACCAAATCCTAGTAATTATACAGTAGACTTGAGCATGAGCTGAACATCTTTAGTTAACATGTAGTAGAGGAGAGACTGTTGGATTTACCTGTAGCTGGCCCTCTGTCCTCGGCCCTTCCCTCTGCCGCGGTCCCCCCGTGGCCCCGGGGTCCGGCCCTGAGACATGAAGTCACCAAACGTTGGAGTTTGAGGAGGCCGCTTACTGTCGTCTGCAAGAAAAACAATTAAGAGTGTAAATCAATGGTTTTGTTATTCTTGACCTAAAAAGGGTAGGGCTAATCAGAGGAGAGGGACTGATAGATGAGCGTGATCAGTCCAGGAGAAATCCTCTACAGGAAGTGAGATCATGAAGGCAGGAACTCATGCACCGGATCAGGCATACAGTGTGTCAATATACAACATGCCATCTACATAAAACCAAATACAAGACCTAATTTAAGACGGTTCTAAAAAAGTGCAGGTTAATGGTACGAAGAGTATCTTAAACACATCACATCTGCAGTCAGAGTGGATGTGTAACATCAGAGCTGTCTGCAGGTCAGACTGCTGCAGAGTCTCTGAACTGAGGTCACATGTCTGATTCTCAGCTAGTGAGTGACGTGGTAAATCACCTCGGCTTTATGTAAATATAATGATCAGGAATGAAAAACATCAGGTAGGTAGTGCTAAATGTTCTATAAAAGAAGCTGTGAATAATATATAAGTGGGTTGTATTTTGCGAATGTGCCATATTGTTAAACAAACCCTCTTAATGTCACATATGTATTATTTATCTCAGTAAGCAACCAGTGTGTTACAAAGGTCACTGTCTGATATCACTGTAGAGGAAAATAAGAGATCATGAAATGAGAAACATGCTATAATCGGATGTAGCAGAGTAAGGAAGTAGGGATAAAGGAAAGAGAAATGTCCGAAAGATAGAAAAAAGTATAGCAGGAAGATGGACAGAAGACCTTAGAGGTGTGAAGCAATTAAATCACAGTTAAGAAAAGATGTGATGAGGAGGGAGGGAGGAAGAGCAGAGGAGGGAAGGAGACAGAAGGTCAGAGAGGAGATGCAGAGAGTGGGGGGGGGGGGGGGGGGGGGGGGGGAGTAGGGCTTGAAGGGAGAGAGGAGGTTTGTGATAACAAAAAAAGGTCAAGAAGAAGAAAACGCAAGCACAAAAGAAATGAAGGGATCAGAGGAGAATACTAAAAACTGAGAGGATGAAGAGAGCAGCCAGAGGCGTGAGGAGGACACTCGAGTCATTCCAGAAATTAGAAGTGGTTGAGAAGAAAAGGAACACACACATATACACACACACAGCGTGCGCAGGCTTTAATGTGGGGACGGTGTAATGTCATAATCTGTAACATCCTCTGCAGCCAGACAGCAAGAAAAGGAATAAAGCAGGAATGAGCAGCTGGTAGAATCATGCGCTGGTTTGAATCCCCTCATCACAGCACAGCAGCCTGAAGATCAAATACTTTTGATTTAAACTCAGATTTGTGTTTGGGAGGCAGACACCCTCTCCACATTTAAGACAGGCTTAAGACTTTACTCTTTAATAAGGCTTAAAGTTAGGGCTGGCTCAGGCTGTCCTTGAATCCTCCTGGATCCTATATTATATTTTTGTATTTTACATTAACATTGCCATTATATCAATTGTTTTTATTAGACTGTCATTCATGTTTGTTGATCTGTACAAATCGTACAGCCCCCTGAGACAATTGTGTTTTAGGGATATATAAATAAAATTGATTTGACTTTCTGTCCAACAAAAATGATCTGCCACGAGGTACTAAGAGAAGGCAACACTAACAATAAGAACTGTTTAAATAAAAAAGATAGGCTTAATATATTCTCAAAACTTTGATTTGTGATACAAATAGGTCAAATGTAAACAAGGTTGTTAACGTACAGAACAAGAAAAAAAAGTGCAATTAAAACCTTTTAGAGCTTTTTTTAAAGATAAGATAGTCCTATTTCCAAACACAACAATCAAAGCTAGGTTTTAAGAGTTGTCATTAAATGCCTTCGCCAACCAATCGGGTTGTACATAAACAGTATGGGAAATGGTCATAATTAATACCTTGCCTTTTGACCACCAAAATATAAATTGGTTCATCCTCGAGTGGACGTTTTTGCCAAATTTAGCTTTGACTTTTCCTGGGATATCCCGGTCAGAAGGATATGAGTGTGGAAGGACATACAACAGGAAAACATAACTACTCTAGTCTCGGCTGTCTCAGGAAATAAAACAAAATGTATATCAGGTACAAATCCTCAGGTGTTATTCTGTGTAGCAGAATGTTTTGTATGTGACAAGTTATGTACCGAGGTAGCACATTAAACGTTTCTGATACTTGTATATACATGCAACATGTTGAGACAGAAGTAAAAACTAGAATAATATGAATAGCAGTGAACTGAGTTACTGAAATTATGGCTGTAGCTGATTTCTTCAGGTTAGGGAGTTTGGGGTGCATTTGGTTTAGGGTGCAGCTGTTGTGCTTCAGACGACACAACTGAAAAAAATAAAAACACACACAATGGAGTCTCATTCCCATGCTGTGGTCTAACCTGAGGCCCTGCCCCGAGGCTCTGTTCGAGAGTTACGCCCCCGGGCTACAGAGAGGACACACACACACACACACACACACACACACACACACACACACACACACACACACACACACACACACACACACACACACACACACACACACACACACACACACACACACACACACACACACACACACACACACACACACACACACACACACACACACACACACACACACACACACACACACACACACACACACACACACACACACACACACACACACACACACACACACACACACACACACACACACACACACACACACACACACACACACACACACACACACACACACACACACACACACACACACACACACACACACACACACACACACACACACACACACACACACACACACACACACACACACGCACACACACACACACACACACACACACACACACACACACACACACACACACACACACACACACACACACACACACACACACACACACACACACACACACACACACACACACACACAGAGAGAGTTAACAAGAGATAAATCACCATGTAGACATCACTCATCTTGCTACCAAGAAAAAAAACTAAACACCAGTGAGGTACACGCATGTGAGACGAGGACCGTGTCTCAATTCAGAGGCTTCGGAGTACGCAGCCTACGCGGTCCACGGTAGGCTGGACCGAGCGGCCTACGAAATGAGACGGTCTAGCCTACGGAGCGCTTCGTATCTACGCCACGTGATACGCGCTGTTCGGTTGCGCTGCTCCAGCAGCCTGCTAGCAAATTAGCTTACAAGCTAACTCAGCTGAAAAGGATCCAGAAACTTTACTTTTATACTTTATCCATTTTTTGGAGATCACCGTCGGCGATGAAATAAAGAGGACCATGGCCAGGTAAATAAGATTAAGCTGTTCCTTTAGCCTCCAGTAATGTTACATTAGTAAGTTAACAAGTCAAATATAGCTGATGTAATTTAATCATATTATTTCATATTTAAAATAAGTGCTACTGACACCAGGTTAGCACCTCCAGGTCCAGGTATTTTTTACATGTCTCCAGTACCCTACCGACAAAAAGACAGATAACGTCGGAGCTTAACGGTACCACGGTCTTTAATAATTCAGCCCCGGGGCCCGTTTAATACCGGGGCTCTGTACCCATCCCTATGTACAGATATACTATACTATACTATATTGGGGTGATGCTAGTTTATCATACAACTGCTGCAGCGACATGCAGTCAGTGGAGGCAGGGGAGGCAGAGCCTCACCTGTCATACTCCAATGTAACGGAAAAACAATTAAAGAAAAACTAAATAATAATAATAATAATAAAATGTCTCCACTGATCTTGTGTAAATGTGATTTCTGTATGATTCCAATCGCATTTTATAGTCAAAATCAGCAAATTTGCCGAGCTCCGCTACGGGAGCGATGAGAAGTGAGGCAGGGACGAGCACTGCCTCACGTAAGCCCACAGTAACTTGCTGGAGCGCGGGCACTAATTTAGCGCGGCCACTTATTTTGTGAGCGCGCTCAAGCCAGTTACTGTGGGGTGAGGTGAGGCACAGATGAGCTCTGCCTCACTTCAGAATGCGTCACCCCACAGAAACTGGCTGGAAAGCGGGCCCTAAGCACATGCCCGTTACCATCTCACTGTAGGTCACCAATGTAATGTTTGTAGATCCCTTTATTACATTTATCCTCGCCATCTATAGTCTCTAAATAACTTATTTCACGTATATATGATATTTAGGCTCGCTGGTCTCATCGTACAACGGCAATGAAAAAAGCACCAGGAGAGGCAACCATAACCTCTGCCGCACTGAAGGGGGCGCACGTGAGCCCACAGGTTCTTGTTGCTACTGTTATTCTACCGCAAACAACAAACTAGACTTTTGAAACTACAGGAAGATAAGGAGGACTTTTACAAAACAGTAATAGAGATTGTTGTCCAGAAGGATAGCATGGACTTATATTCATCTTCAAGTCAAGGTAAGACCACAACTGTAATGAAAATGGGATCTTACTTAGAAAGAACAATCCAATATTTAGATTTTGGGTATCCTTTTGTTGATCGGTCTGTTTAAAATTAATCATAGCATCAGACTAAAAAAGCTTTTGAAAATAACAGAATATTTCGATTAAGGTCAAAATAGGCTATAATATTTGTAAATCTGACTCTGAAAGAGTCAGTGCCTCACCAGCCATGAACCTCACCGCACGTCACTGAACTGCTGTCAACGTGGTAATATGTTGTCAAGACATTTAGAAAAGGAGCTGGGAAAGGCTTTGATGAAAGGATGAGGCGGACTCTGCCAGCGCCTTTCTGTCAGAGAAACACACCATGAGGACACACAGCAGTGGAGAGGCAAAGCCACTCCAACAGGTCGACTCCTGGGATTACCACAGGCCCTCAGAGAATCTTTTCACCCTACGGGGAAATCTCAGTGGCTGTCGGTTAAATGTAAATTACCAAAGAAAGTCAAGGCACTAAAATCAAATGTTATCTTATGTTACTGTAAAGTTTAATAAACAGCCTCATATTAGCATCCATATGCTGGCATTTGTTTTAAATTCAAATAATTAACATTGCGAAACGCACACAAACCAAATAACAATAAATAAAACAAAAATAGGTTAATTATTCAATTTTTTTTATCCAGACCAAAATAAGTCATTAATTGAAAGAAGTAACTTTTGGTTTAATGTGGGATTAATCAGAAAAATAATCATGCATCCCTCTGGAGTTCCAGCGTGTTTTTACCTTTACTTCACAGAGTGATAATGAGTTGCGGCGTTAAAGGAAACTGGGTTTCTTCTGAAAGCTCCTCTAAGGCCCTAGCTACGCGGAAATGAAAACGAACCAAATTCGATATAAAAAAAGTCTTCCATCCACACGCAATAGGCATCAGAAACGTGTCCTTCCACACGAGACCGCTCGACCCGCTGGAGACGCTGTAGTACCTTCATGAACCTTTTCAATCTGGTTTCCGTACTCGCCACAGCACAGAATCTGCCCTACTCAAAGTGACCAACGACATTCTCCTCTCTGCTGACTCTGGTTCCCTCTCAATTCTCATTCTCCTTGACTTAACAGCCGCATTTGACACGATCAACCATTCCATCCTCATCAACCGCCTCCAGTCTTCCATTGGCATAACCGGTACTGCCCTCTCCTGGTTTAAATCCTATCTCTCTGACAGACATCAATTCATCTCCATTAACAACTCGAAAATCCCCCACAGCCCCCGTCAATCATGGCGTCCCTCAGGGTTCTGTACTTGGTCCCCTTCTGTTCATCATCTACATCCTCCCAATTGGACAAATCCTCCGTCAACACCAACTCCAGTTCCACTGTTATGCTGATGACACACAGCTCTACCTCTCAACAAAATCAATTTCTCCAACCACACACTCCCAGCTCAGCACCTGCCTCACTGACATAACAATTTGGATGCAAAACAATTTTCTAAAACTTAACTGTGACAAATCGGTACTTATAATCATTGGCCCAAACTCACTTACCCGCTCAACCCAAGATCTTTCTCTTACCATCGATGGCTCCATTGTCAACCCCTCCACTCACATCCGTAACCTTGGCATCATCCTCGACCCCACCCTCACTTTCCTCCCTGACGTCAACCAGGTCACAAAAAAAGCTTTCTTCCATTTAAAGAACATCGCCCGCATCAGACCCTCCCTCTCATCGACCGCTGCTGAAACTCTGATCCATGCCTTTATAAGATCCCGACTGGATTACTGCAACAGCATACTTTTTGGATCACCTGCATCCATACTAAAAAAAACTTCAATATGTCCAAAACTCAGCTGCCCGCTTGCTCACCTCCACCTGAAGCTCCGACCACATCACCCCTCTCCTCCATGACTTCCACTGGCTCCCCATCAAACACCGCATTGACTTTAAAATATTACTTTTCACTTTCAAAGCCCTCAACAACCTTGAGACTTCCAGAGCATGCATGGTTGCCATGGTTGCCCTTCTGTTTATTCTCCGCAGTGGATTTAGCAGCAGAGGTGGAGAGAGGCAGGGCTCTGGCTGTTTCTCTTTCTCCCTCCCCGAGGCAAGCGTGTGCTACTGCTGTAAATCTCCCCGGTAGTCCACCAGCAGATGAAAAACACCCACCTCTCCGCCTCTTCCAAGGGAACCGTGCGGCAGAGTTTCCGGTCAACATGTCCGTTAGTTTAAATCTTCCGGACAAAATTATAAAAGTGCCGGTCAAAGGTCTTCTATTTATTGAGCTTTAAAACAAATGAATAACGACTCTATATAACAATATAAGAATAATACACGGAGTCTCTCTTTTCCTCCCCCTCTCCTGACAGCTCGTCAGTATTTTCGTTATCAGGAAATGATCGTATAGGGCGTAATCACGGAGCCGTTTGGCCCCCCAGAGCGTTGCGTCCGCAGATCTACCCACCTTGGGACCCGTTATCGTTATCCGCGTTTCCCTGTCGGCCTTGTGTGGCCGAACCGTCTATAACAGCGGTTTTCAAAGTGTGAGGCGCGCCTCCCCTGTGGGGCGCCAGAGAGCTTCAGGGGAGGCGCAGCGTGAGAAAAGAAAAAACGAGAAAAAGATGAGTAAAGTGACACTTGCACACTTTTGGATGTCTGTGGAGACCGAGTTCCCCCACCTCGCCAAAAAGGCTGTAAAAGTGCTCATTCCATTCACCTCCACCTCCCTGTGTCAGTGCGGGTTTTCCGCATTGACTTTGATCAAAAGCAAGTACGGATCAAAAGCAAGTACCGGTCAAGGCTGCAGCCAGAGTATTCCTGTGTGCATCAAAAGACGCAGACTCATTGTTCCCACTAAAGTAGGGGTGAGTGTAATGAGGAGGCAAAGTTGACGTTCAGTGTGTTGCCGGGAGCATATAAGGATGTATCCACGATGTTGAAAATGTTAAAAATGTTAAAAAAAATATGTGTTGAGAACACGGCGTGCGAAAATATACGGGTCGTGCTGCAGCTAGATTTGCCTGTCCTCTGTAAGAAGGTGTCGGCGACTGACATGCAAGGAAGAACGGCTGTCCACAGGCTGTTCCAACTTTAACAACTTTATTAACTTCCAGGGTAGTGAATTGAACATGCAATTGTAATTGGGTGTGTGGTATATTTTCATGCACGCACACGCATGTTCCACAACACACAAACTGAACAACACTCAATTGTCCGATCGCTACCAGTGTCCTTGGGATCTTGTTATAACAACAAGTGCACGTTACTGATGCAATATGGTTGAGACCATTCAGGCGTATTCTAGAGGGGTGCAAGGAATAGTCCAAGTAGTGGGGGTGTAGTGGCATCCAAGGTTTCCTTTTGCCACTAGAGAGCGGGGTTGACGACACGCAATCCAAAGCAATAAGCAGCCGAAGGTTTTCAGTCAAAAAATGTAATTTATTAACAAAAAAGTATTGACTTAAATAGTCTCAAAATAACAATATTTCGGTGATATACTTTCTTATATAAACTATACTTTGCAGTCCAATTACCTCACTTAAATAAACACCGGAAGGTACAAGGAAACAGATCATATTTACGATTTAAAATAAACAATAATTTCAACAAAAGATATTCACCATGGCAATATAAATCATTTTCCATCGTTAATTCATTTATCAAATTATGAATCTAAATAATAACTTTGACTTCATTGTGGCTCTAACAGGGGGAGTTTTATACAATATGTTTAAAACATAAAGATAAAAAGGTTTAAAAAAGTTATTGTTTAATGTTTTAAGGAGGTGACGTTACTCAGCCAATCAAATCGGTGCAGTCAGTGAGTCAGCACGATAGATTCAAACACACACACAGAGACGAGACAAGAGGAGAGAAACAGCCGGAGTAATTTCAAATGGCGGAAGGTAGACAGCGAAAACAGAGCATTTAATGACATTTTCTCTTACTGGACCTCTTTTGCCCCTTTCACACCAACGCGTTTTCAGCGCCGGCTCGGAGCTAGAGCCTGAAAAGTACCGTTTTTTCCTGTTCACAACACAAAAACCTCATAGCTCCGGAATCCAGTTCGTTTCCAGCTCCAAAAAATTGTCGGTCTCGAAGCAAGACTCCGGAGCTAAGAGGCGGCGCCGCTTACGTCTCTCTTACGTCGAGGCGTGCAGGAAACTAAACCCACCTCCCCTGAACATGGGTCGACTGAAGAGTCTTGTCATGCCTGCCTACAAGAAGTAGCGCTGAGCAAAGTGACTAGAAGGCAACCACACACTTATAAAAAAAAACACACTTTATAAAGTCAGGCAACACTAACCAGGCTTCGTGTGATTCTGTTTATTTGTACCTTACTTTGACCATCCGTTCGCTGTTATTGATCATTGTGGAGAGCAGGCAGACGTTTTGTTTTGTATTATAGCAGCTATCGGATGGAATCAATACATGGGCTGCACAGGTTGTCATGTCCGACTATCACAAGTAGAATCATAATGAAAAATACGCCGGTAAAATGTGCCTGGAGAAAACGGCTTAGCAAGTAGTCAGTTTAGCTTCGGTTGCTATGCTAACATCACCCATGTTATACCAGAGAAACTTTCATAACAGCGTTGTGATGCCAAACAGCGTCAATTCAGACTGACACACATTCACTTAAGGGGAACTGGGGATATGTATCAGCTGCTTGTGTGACTCAGACAGTGAATACTTTAGAGCCGTGTGAGCTAACCCGGAGCTAACGGGAGAATAAACTCCCGTGGAAGAGCAGTCAGCACTGCAGCGGTCGGTAAATGCCGCTGAAACACATTAATAAACAATGAACCACGGCACTCTGGAGAAAAGTATAACGTTGGAGAAGTCGTTATTTAATTTAATCTGGCTTCGTATGATTAAAAGCAACACGATCATCGACCCGACGCAGTCCCCCGTTGTTGTTGTTGTGAGCTCCGTTGGGGAGAAAATCAGCGACGTAAACGGTGACGTCATGACGCAGCAGCGGCAGCACCATCCCAGCTCTGAGTGGTGTGAACAGAGCAGGAGCAGAAAAGGGAAACCGGAGCTGAACCAGAAAAGCTCTAGCTCGGAGCTAGAAAGGGAAAAGCGCTGGTGTGAAAGCCGCATTTGAAATGCAATTGAATACCCCTGCATTATAGCAACAACAATAATAATAATAATAATAATAATAATAGCAATAATAATTGGGAGGGGGGTTCTTATGTTCTTATGTTCTCTGAGGGGAGGCTCACCTTCCCACACTTTGAAAACCCCTGGTCTATAAGATAGAGAACTGTAGCGGATACGACCCGTTTCGTCACCGTGTGGCTAGGGCCTAAGATCAGCACGAGGGGTGGATTTGGACTCCGGGGAAATACAGCAGGCGTTTACATAAGGAGCTTAATCAAGCCTTATTTACATAGCCGCCTTAATTAGCTGGAGGAGGAAGGTGGTGCTGTGTCCTGTGGTGTGTTTACAGTGTGTGTGGTGACATGTTGGAGTGACAAGATGTCAGACGATCAGAGACATGGGATGGGTGTGGTGTCATACTCCTGACAGCTGTTTTGTTGTGTAACCTTGGAAACAGCACACAAGTATGTGCGTGTGCGTGTGCGTGTGTGTACTTGCCTCTCCTGCTGCCCTGCTCGGTTGTGCTGCCCTCTGAGGTTGCATATGGTTCTTCCTTAAACCTGTGAAAAAAGCCGCAGGGTCAGAGACACAATTATAGCAGGCACTTAATATATAAATAATATCACACTTTTGAATTGTGTTGGCTGTATTTTGGCCCTTCTTAGTGAGTATTTATCACATAGTCTACAGATTTTAATCTTTTTAAATCAATTTACTTTTTAGTTCCGTTTAATTTTCCATTTTGAAATGTTTATATTTTGTATTTGTTTATTTACTACTGCTGTAACAAAAACATTTCCCAATTTGGGATCAATGAAGTATATCTTCTCTTATATATTACTAACACACGTATTACTTATACTCCTAGATAAAATAAATATTCAGATATAGGATTAATGAGGGTCTAATATCCCCTTCCTCACATGTTCTCTGTCTTCTGTGCGTCCCACTCCCGTTTCCACTGGCCTGTGGCGTTACGATGCCGTGCGAGTCTCTCTTCGTCAATCTCCTCGCGCTCCTTCTTCCAGCGGACGTACTCGGCTCTCTCCCGGCCGGTCATAGACACGGTCATGTCCGTAGAGTCTTTGGGACCGGGCCTCCGACTCTACAGACAGGAGGGTTAATGAGTGCTACAGTGGGAAGTGAAAAATTGTTATGCTGTCAAAAGGCCTGCTGGCCTACGACCTTTTAAAAAAAACGACACAACTCACAGTCCACTCTTTCTCCATCTCGCCTCCTGTCTTGACGTTATCAAAGTCCAGCCCCCCCCCAGTTCCGCACATGTCTCCGGCTGCCATCCTTGCGGTCTATGTCTGGCACTGGGCCTGAACGTCTCGGGTCATCCAGGAAGTTACGGATCGGCTTGTCTCCATCTGCCTAAGGAGAGGAAATATACACTTCAAAATGTGTCACATTTAACCAGAGGTCGCGTTATCCGAATATTTTCCGTCTATGACAGATTTGTTTTAACAATGACGGAAAAATCTGAAAGCAGTTAGTCATTTTGACAGATTAGAACAAACTCGGAACAGCGCTAACGTTTCCCCGCAGCGAGGCTCCGGTGTTATGCATGGCCGCCAAAAAGGAAATGATACCGTTTCCAAACCTAACTTTGCCGTACAAATCATTGAAATGTCTGTGAGTTTTGGCTTTACACTGTGCGCGCTCCCGCGAGGTGCAGTGGGCATGCCATGCATAACACGGCGCTAACAGTTCACGAGCGTTCTCTCTCCCCCCCCCCCCCCTTGTCAGAGTTGTGTAAAGGCCGACGGGTAATACTGGATTTTGACGGAAATTTTACGATCCTGTCTGTCAAAATGACGGACAGCGAAAAAGTCTAGCGCAACCTCTGCGTTTCTTCCATGCTCCTTCAGAAAGTTAAGTGTTACAAGTTCAACAATAAAGCTGACAATTATAACAGTGTGAGAAGAGAGATGGGAGACTTTAAATTGTTTTAAAAGGAAATCTAAAAGCACTACTGATGAAATGCCATCTCATGAGTTGAAACACTTTATATGAATAGTAATAATAATAATCTTAATAAACAGAGACTCTCTTACCCGCTGTCCTCTCTCATATTCTGCTATTTTCTCCATTTCTTCGTTCATCTTCTCAATGTTCTGTCTCCTCTTCTCCTCCCACTCCTGTCCAAAACACAGGGCAGCATCATCAGTGACAGATCACAATGTAGGACGTGAACATGGCCTTCAGAATGAGGCTCAAACCTTTTTGCCGAACAAGCCTGGCTTTAATCATGCAGGAATAATGTTGGTCTGAAAGAAGCCTTGGTCAAAAACACTTTCTCTTCCATGTAAACTTATAACAAATGTATAACACGTGTAGTAGGGCTGCACGATTATGGCGAAACTGATAATAACAATTATTTTGACCAATATTGAGATCATATTGATGTATCTCTTCCTGAGTGGCCAGGTTTCAAGTCTAGTCCCCTCTCTATCCCCATTTTCTGCACATTCACTTTGATCAATAAAGCTCATCCTCACCTTGGATTTCCTGTCTGGGCCACCTGGTGTCCCACCTGGTGTTCCACCTGGTGTTCCTTCTCCTCCTTCTCCTCCTTCTCCTCCTTCTCCTCCTTCTCCTCCTTCTCCTCCTTCTCCTCTTCTCTTTCTCCTTCTCCTCCTCCTCCTCCTCTTCCTCCTCTTCCTCCTCTTTCTCCTCCCCCCCTCCCCCTTCCTTCTCCTCCTCCTCCTCTTCCTCTCCTCCCTCCTCTGCGTCCCGGTCCTCCCGTCTCCCCAGGTTCTCCCTCTCTGGGTGTCCTGGGCTCCCATTCTCTCCTCTCCTGGCGCCCCCCTCTCTGACCTCCCCGACTCATTCGTCCTGACCCCGTCTTCCTCTGGGGGCTGTGCTCGCTGTTTGGCCCCCGCTGGCCTTCACTGGGACCTCCTTGGGGGCTGTCATCTGGCTCTCTGTGCCCGTCGCTCTGCCCTCGTTGGCCCTCGCCGGGCCCACGGCGGTGGCCCTCGCTGGGCCCCCGGTGGTGGCCCTCGCTGGGCCCCCGGTGGTGGCCCTCGCTGGGCCCCCGGTGGTGGCCCTCGCTGGGCCCCCGGTGGTGGCCCTCGCTGGGCCCCCGGTGGTGGCCCTCGCTGGGCCATCGCTGGGCGTCGCTGGGCCATCGCTGGGCATCACTCTCCTCTGAGGTCTTCCGAGCTCGAGGAGTTACAGGTTTCCAATCGTTTACGACTCTCTTGTCCTGCAGGGAACACACACAGAGAATTAGTCTAAGTTTACTCAGTCACATATTTTAATCTTTACTTGTAGAGCAAGGACTCTGTTCATGACTGACAGGACTTTTAGGGGTTGTAGCGATTAAGGTGGACTAAATACCTGACTCCACAGCCATGTGACAATTGCATGAAGTGCCCAAATACAACTGTGTGTGGTGTAAACAAATAATGCTCATAATCGAAATAATTGACAATGGCTTAATAAGCATTTTGGCTCCTACATGGGTCATAATAAAAATCCTTGCATGGGCAGATGATGATAGTACCTTTGTAAAATTACATTAAAATCCTACCTATGAAAAATAAATATGAACCTTTTAATAAAAAATAACAGGGAACCACAGCAATAAATGTTCACTTTAAACTGATTGGTTCCACTACTCTGCATTGAAGCTTGGTTTTGGTCTCATAAACCAAAGAGATATAAATAAATATAAAACAGCTGTGCCAGTGATTACTCATTATCTTTTTAGAAAGCCAGTGGGTTTGGAAAAAATATATTTCCTGTCCTGAATTTAACCGCTCTACTTTTAATTTAAACAGATTCAATCTGCTCAATCTTTAGAACTGGTGCAGTAAAAAGTACAAAAGAGTAGTAAGGGCTATGGATTATGCAAAACTACAGCATGATGAGCCCAGAGAGCGAGGCTGGGAGGCGGATGACTGTTATCAGTGTTTCAAAGAGCTCTTTCAGCTCAGGTATCAGGAGTGTGCTGTACAGCTTTAACAGACTAATGAACCAAACTTGACCATTTTACTTTTAAAAACCCCTTCAGACAGGTACACATCTGGAGCAGATGCCACCCTGTTTCCTTGTGACCTTTCCATGTTGAACATTGGGGGTCTGCAGTCATCAGCAGGATATTTATGTAATCTGAAGCTCAGCAGGGGCTGACAGCACCGTTACACCACAGTGGTGGACTTCAGACGGCGCCAACACCAGTGAACATCCAGGGAGCGGAAATTGAGATTGTGAAATCCTACAAATACCTCGGTGTTCATCTGAACAATAAACTGGACTGGTCAGACAACTCTGCTGCTCTGTAAAAGAAGGGGCCGAGCAAACTCTTTCTGCTGAGGAGACTGAGGTCTTTTGGGGTGCGGGGGCACTCCTTCAGACATTTTATGACTCTGTGGTGGCATCAGCCATTTTCTATGGTGTGGTCTGCTGGGGCAGCAGCATCTCGGCTGCTGACAGGAAGAGACTGAACAGACTGGTAAAGAAGGCCAGCTCTGTCCTGGGGAGTCCTCTGGTGGGAGACAGGAGTCCTCACTGTGGAGGTGGTGGGAGACAGGAGTCCTCACTGTGGAGGTAGTGGGAGACAGGAGTCCTCACTGTGGAGGTAGTGGGAGACAGGAGTCCTCACTGTGGAGGTGGTGGGAGACAGGAGTCTTCTGGACACTGTGGAGGTGGTGGGAGACAGGAGTCCTCTGGACACTGTGGAGGTGGTGGGAGACAGGAGTCCTCTGGACACTGTGGAGGTGGTGGGAGACAGGAGTCTTCTGGACACTGTGGAGGTGGTGGGAGACAGGAGTCCTCTGGACACTGTGGAGGTGGTGGGAGACAGGAGTCCTCACTGTGGAGGTGGTGGGAGACAGGAGTCTTCTGGACACTGTGGAGGTGGTGGGAGACAGGAGTCCTCTGGACACTGTGGAGGTGGTGGGAGACAGGAGTCCTCACTGTGGAGGTGGTGGGAGACAGGAGTCTTCTGGACACTGTGGAGGTGGTGGGAGACAGGAGTCCTCTGGACACTGTGGAGGTGGTGGGAGACAGGAGTCCTCACTGTGGAGGTGGTGGGAGACAGGAGTCCTCTGGACACTGTGGAGGAGGTGGGAGACAGGAGTCCTCACTGTGGAAGTGGTGGGAGACAGGAGTCCTCACTGTGGAGGTGGTGGGAGACAGGAGTCCTCACTGTGGAGGTGGTGGGAGACAGGAGTCCTCTGGACACTGTGGAGGAGGTGGGAGACAGGAGTCCTCACTGTGGAGGTGGTGGGAGACAGGAGTCCTCTGGACACTGTGGAGGAGGTGGGAGACAGGAGTCTTCTGGACACTGTGGAGGAGGTGGGAGACAGGAGTCCTCACTGTGGAGGTGGTGGGAGACAGGAGTCCTCTGGACACTGTGGAGGAGGTGGGAGACAGGAGTCCTCTGGACACTGTGGAGGAGGTGGGAGACGGGAGTCCTCTGGACACTGTGGAGGTGGTGGGAGACAGGAGTCCTCTGGACACTGTGGAGGTGGTGGGAGACAGGAGTCCTCTGGACACTGTGGAGGAGGTGGGAGACAGGAGTCCTCTGGACACTGTGGAGGAGGTGGGAGACAGGAGTCCTCTGGACACTGTGGAGGAGGTGGGAGACAGGAGTCCTCTGGACACTGTGGAGGTGGTGGGAGACAGGAGTCCTCTGGACACTGTGGAGGGGGTGGGAGACAGGAGTCCTCTGGACACTGTGGAGGTGGTGGGAGACAGGAGTCTTCTGGACACTGTGGATGTGGTGGGAGACAGGAGTCCTCTGGACACTGTGGATGTGGTGGGAGACAGGAGTCTTCTGGACACTGTGGATGTGGTGGGAGACAGGAGTCTTCTGGACACTGTGGATGTGGTGGGAGACAGGAGTCCTCTGGACACTGTGGATGTGGTGGGAGACAGGAGTCTTCTGGACACTGTGGATGTGGTGGGAGACAGGAGTCCTCTGGACACTGTGGATGTGGTGGGAGACAGGAGTCCTCTGGACACTGTGGATGTGGTGGGAGACAGGAGTCCTCACTGTGGAGGTGGTGGGAGAGAGGAGTCCTCACTGTGGAAGTGGTGGGAGAGAGGAGTCCTCACTGTGGATGTGGTGGGAGACAGGAGTCCTCTGGACACTGTGGATGTGGTGGGAGACAGGAGAATGGCAGCCAAGCTGTCCTCCCTGCTGGACAATGTGTGTCCCCCCTCCAGGACACCCTGTCCTCACTGTGCAGCTCCTCCAGTGACAGGCTGTTGCTGCTGCTGCTGCTGCCCCGCCCGCCGCTGTCTCACGGAGAGATACCGCAGGTCCTTCCTTCCTGCAGCGGTCAGACTATATAACCAGCACGGCCCCTAGTAGATGTAATGTAGTTTGTGCATAAATTACTATTGCAACAAATGTGTCCATTTTCTTCATTATTAGGGTCGATTTTTTGGACGAATGCTCTTGGGCCAGTGGTTACAATGGTGGGGCCAGTGATAATGAAAATCTACTGACCCTTAATGTCTACCCCTGTATATATATGCCGTTAATAACTGTGCAATATATACCTGGCTGCTAAATCCTCAGAACTGTTACAGGGTGTGTATTTTGTAAATTGTGTAACTTTTTTTAATTATAATTTTGTTATCGTTAATACTTTTTTATGCATGCTTCTTAGGTAACATTAAGCTATCTTTGGCTCTTTTCTGCTGTAACAATGTAAATGTCCCCTCTGTGGGACTAATAAAGGTATTCTGATTCTGATACTAGCCAGGTGTGTTAACCCAGAAATGTTGAGTACCCCGAAGTTTTATGATAGAAATGTATAGTACGAGTCCCCCAACATTAATCAAAATCAACCCACTGCGAGTACAAATATGGCTACTTTCTATGGCCAACATCCTCAATAACCTCCCAAAAAAAATCAGAAATTGCCTAAATTGGCCAAGCTATTTTTTTCGCAGTTATCTGCATATGCTAATTAAGGCAATGTATGCCAATTGTGCATATTGCCCAACATATGCAAGTCCGGCAGTTTCTATGTGCGGGGAATCCGTACTATACATTTCTATCATAATCCGTACTCAACATTTCCGGGTTCACAATAGACTCTATGAGCTGGCAAGTAAACTATTAGGCCTGATTCAGGGATGCAACCTCATCAGGTATGAAAAAGGTGACAAGGATCCGAGCCCCCCGACCCCACGGAATATCGGCTTTAAAATGAGGAATAACAGAGGATTTTAGCAGTCAGAACAACTAAAGCAGTTAATAATAACAGAAACGCCAAAGAGTCACATCTAATAGAAATATATAAAAGCATTTATTTTAATTGTGTAGCAGTCCGTTTATAATTTTGGCAGCACTGTTGAGCATTTTGAAAATGTATTTTCATGCTTCTGTGCAAGGCTTAGTCTTTCTATCTTTATAGCCAGTGGTGTAAAGTAACTAAGTTCATAAACTCAAGTACTATACTTGGGTACAATTTTGAGATACTTGTACTTTATTTAAGTATTTCAATGTTTTGCTACTTTGTTCTTCTTCTCCTCTGCAGTTCAGAGGAAAATGGTGTACTATTACTCCACTACATGTATTTAATACCTTTAGTTACTTTACAGATGTGGATGAATGATGTGAAATCTAATCAAGTGTTAAATCAGACTTTAGTTCCACCTGGAGTAAATTCACAAGCTACCCTGCAGTATACAAAGTCATTCAAACTAGCTGCACCTTTACCAGCTTTGAGAACACTTTCATGATCAATCATTATAAAACATATCATATATATTATTCTGAAATGGACCAATCTGCACAATGAATACTTTTACTGTCGCGACTTTAACTATATTTTGATGAGAATACTTTTCTACTTTTACTTGAGGAACATTTTGAATGCAGGACTTTTACTGTAACAGAGTATTCCTACACTCTGGTACTTCTACTTTTACTCAAGTACAAGACCCGAGTACTTCTACTTTTACTCAAGTACAAGATCCGAGTACTTCTACTTTTACTGTCGCTACTTTAACTATATTTTGATGATAATACTTTTGTACTTTTATTTGAGGAACATTTTGATTGCAGGATTGTTCCTACACTCTGGTACTTCTACTTTTACTCAAACCTGAGTGCTTCTACTTTTACTCAAGTACAAGATATATATATATATATATATATATATATATATATATATATATATATATATATATATATATATATATATATATATATATATATATATATATATATATATATATATATATACCTCCGTTTATAGCCTATGAAAAAAACTATTAGAAAACGAAGGCTAAAGCTAACGTTAGCAGATAGTGACAATGTATGCTAGTTAGCTAGCTCGACAACGATAATATTGCGACAGAAAAACTTTTCAGTGCACATCACGCTCTGCCGCTCCGACAGGGTGCTCTGCTCTGAACACCTGAACGGCCCGTTCTAACAGCTGTTCACCAGCGGTGCAGTCTGTGCCACAGTGACTCCGGACCGCACAGTTAATATTAACGAACGCACACGTAGATAATGTAGCTAATGAAGCTAGACCATCATCGTGGAGCAGCAGAGCCTTATTATACATCCATGAGCAGAAGACTCGAGCACACAGATCGCGCTGCATTATAATATATACACCATGCGTGTCATGATGGCACATAACAGCTCGCGGCCGCCGATTACTCCGGGTCCCAGACCCCCCCCATACCCCAAAAATATTTTTATTGCAGATCTACATGAATCACACAAACGACCTATTTTGGATTCAAAACGGCGAATTTCGCCGAAAGGTGACAAGTTTGCATCCCTGTGATTATCAAGAACCTCAGCGATGCAACGCCAGCGTAAATATCCTGATCAATAACGGATTACGTAATGTACATTTCTCTCATATTACATGAAACAGAACAGTCTGGCTAATAGAAGAACAAGATTTTGAGCCAACAAACTGAATAATACTAGTATCAACTTAAAAGGTGAAGATATGTCAATGTTGTGTGCGCTGGGGGCCCTAGGGGCCAAAAGAGTGGTCCCCACAGGCTGCAAAGCACTTCAGATCTGAAAGTCTCCACACATGTCAGACAACATGTCCCTACAAGTTTATTATTCTGTCATAACTATAGCAATAATTGCATGCATACTGTTTTAGATTTTCTTTTTCTACACCTTCTCAGAATGTGGAAGATGTATTTAAACCAACATCTGTCCAGCTGCTTCCCTTGTTTCCACTTTAAAGGAGACTTTGCTGGGCCCAGACAGCTGTTAGGTGCCGGAACTCTCTTCCTCTCTCTTTATACTGTTGCACTATATTAACAGCAAAGATCTTCAAAGAATGAATCTAGAATATTTCCCAATGATGATCAGATTGAAATGCCCATCCCTATTGAACGGCAGACTGGACATGAAGATAAACCGGTTACAGAGCCTGTTTTCCAGGAGTGTACTTTAACTTGATGACTCCTCTGCTGCTCAATCTACCATTACAACATTCTGAGGCTATAACAGGAGCAATCATCAGCTCTGTTTTAGGAACATTGCCAGAATTGTTTTGAAATCGAATCAAGAATAGGCAGAGCAATTTGGATGGCACACACTAAACTGATGAAAACCCTTTTCTCAAAAACTCTTACATGGAATCATTAAGTATAATCAATGTGGTATCATTTGAATAGATGCTTCTTTACACAGTATAACATTTGTGGTAATAGTACTTGAGCAGGATTGCTAGATGGCTAAACTGATTTTACAGGATGTTTGACATTTTTAAAGCAAACAGATGTATAATTTATGAAACTAAACACATAATGAAGATTAAAGCTGCTTTCCAAATACATTTTCTCTCCCACACTTACGCTCTTATTCCATCACTGCAGCTCAACCTTTTGTGATATCCATTGGATTTTTTCTATTTAAAGAAAATAATCCACTATTTCATATTTGAATCTAATATTTCCAACAATTACAAAAGCAACATTTCACCAGGCATCATACAGATATAACCTCATTTTGTTCATCATATATCTAGAATAGTTTGTGTAACAAAAAATACGATTATCACTATAGACATATTTCGCTCTTATTTCTATTGTTTCTACAACTTTCTTGTACAATACGTTGTTGTATTTTTACATTGGAATATCACTTTTTGCTGTTATTTTAACCAGATGTTCCTGCAGGTGTCACCGTTTCATCTTTTCTCATATTAAGTAGTTTCTTCATAGTTCTGATGATGATGATGCTTGTATTTAACAACTCAGCCTTTTTAACATGAATGTGCTTAAAGCTGGAAAGCAACACATATCAAATGTCTTACGTGACTATGATCTGGCACTTTTATGTATGTTTGTAAAAACCTATGTATTCCAAATGTTTCTACCACCCGAGATATGTAACACAAGAAGCAGGCAGAAGGCTGGTGCAGGGCATGATGGTTAAATATATGGTTTGTCATATTATATAGTTTTATGGGATGAATGTGATCATGATTAATTGTCCCTCTGCAGAGGTGGCATGATTTAAATCAGGTGCACATCATGTCTTACCCCTGTCTGCTTAGAGAGGTCGACTGTGACGGTGAAGTTCTCTTTGTCCGTCTTCCTCCTGTCCGCCTCCGGCTCGTGTTGGCGGGGTTTACGCTGGGTTGTCACGGCGATGCCCTCCTGCTCTGCTTTCTTCTTGTCTTCTTCAATTTCCTATTGACATCAGGTGACAACATGAGTGATATGAGACTACAGATTTGTCCAAAATATATTATCAAGGCTAATCCTGAGCACATTTTGGGCATGTATGTTCGAACCCCATAACTAGGGATGCTCCGATCGATCGGTCACCGATCGAGATCTGCCGATACTCACTCTCTACCGATCGAGATCTGCCGATACTCACTCTCTACCGATCGAGATCTGCCGATACTCACTCTCTACCGATCGAGATCTGCCGATACTCACTCTCTACCGATCGAGATCTGCCGATACTCACTCTCTACCGATCGAGATCTGCCGATACTCACTCTCTACCGATCGAGATCTGCCGATACTCACTCTCTACCGATCGATCGGTGCTCTCTAAACATGCCGATCGCGAGAGCCGATCGCATGACGTAAAATACATGACACTTTTCTCTGTGCGCTGCAAAACAAGCTCTCCAAAATGGCTTCACCGGTCTGGCATTATTTTAAGACAGTAAAATAGCGGTATGCAACGTGTGTGAAGCAGAAATCCTGCAGCTCCACCCGCTGTGACGGACCGGTGAGCGGAGCAAAACACACAAGAGTTAGACCTAACACACTTAGCTATTTTATCTACCTCTGGAACAAGCTAAACTAGTTATAAATATATGTATTCTTCACTGTCGGGTCACTCATTACTGGATCAGTGAGCTGCAGGAGATACTGACGGGCTGTCAGGAGAGGGAGAGAGGGGGAGAGAGAGAGGGAGAGAGGACAAGAGAGCGCTTCCGCTCATTTCTCCCGTGTTATTATCCAAAGTGAATGTAAACTTGAATAATGTACATAATTTGAATGTAATAATTAAGGTGGTTGTTGTTTGTGGAAGCTCCAGTGAATGAGCCCCATTAACTGAGTTTTAAACATCACTTTAAATGGAAGATTTAAAGTGATGTTTAAATCTTCCATTTAGGCCCCGCCCACTCGATCGGAATCGGTATCGGCCGATACTGATTCCGGAGATCGGCCCCAAAATCGGCGATCGGAGCATCCCTACCCATAACTAAAATATTATTTTATTTTTGTACCTATGAATTACACATCACTCTAGGGTCATTTTGATGGATTTGAATCAGTGCAGATATGGTGAAAAACATTGAATGCGCTCACCACCCTATTTAGTAAATTGGTGGATTGACCATATAATTGAATTCAAACCGTAAACCGATTGAATGGTAATAGATTGTTGGGGCAATATTTCCCAAGGCCCATAACTTTGACCCAGTTTATCAGTTTATACTGTCCTGACTGAGCACACGCACCTGTAACCTTGGCTGCTGTGCTCTCAGTGCTTTGTCTCCCTGTTCCTGCCTGTTGGCGTCAGCTGATAGAGGTGTTATGATTCTATCTTGTTATGCACAATGTTGATTATTCTCTCAGAACTAGCTAAATACACGGGTCTGGGGTAGAGTTCTTCAGAATTGATTGTGGCATCTCAACCGTGTGGTCAGATCGTGGCCCGTGACATGTCTTGTGAATTCTCCGGCCGAAGCTCCAAATAAACCGTCAGTGTTTGCCATCAAAGCTCCAGCTCTCCTCGTGTCTCTCTGAGGCCCCGCTCACACGGGACCGTTTGCGTTTATGCACAGTATGCGTATTCAAAAAAGTCTTCCGTTCACATGCATTTGTTTCATTGAACGTGTCTGTTTAAACGAGGCCGCTGGAAACGCTGTAGTACATATGCTGGGACTGTAAGTGGCGCTGTAACTTCCGCCAAAATACACCAAAAGCCGCAAAGAAGAGCAGCCTGGAGCAGCCCCGCAGCAATGTTGCCATGGCTACCCTTCTGTTTAAGCCCTGAAACTGAAACTGAAACTGAAAGAAACCGAATCTGTTGTTGCTGATGGTTGTGGTAGAGGAGCTGTATATTTTTGCACTAATATCTGTAGCATGGTCAGTAGCAGTAGCACTAGCAGTAGCTACTGACAGGAGGAAGTCAGTGTGTGTGGCGATTGCTGGTATTCAGCGGGATATAGTCATTTCCTCAGCATATGGATAAATGCAACGGGGAAGTTAACTGAAAGAAACCAAGAAGCACGTCTCTGTGGATATTGCATCGAGAGGACGGCTCAGAAAGAGAGATATTCTCTACAAACACCGGGTGAGATGCACCTTTGTCAATATAATGGATCAATGCATGAAATCTGACTCTGTTTATTTTGTTTAAGGAGTATATTGGGCGTTAACAATTCTGGTTTGCCTTTTATAATATTATTTCATTCAAGAACCCCTTGTGCGTTTAATTAACACAGCTATTTTTGATAGTTGCTACAGCAGTGAGCAGGAGAGGTGCTATTTTTTTTTTTTTTTCGCTATTTTTTCAGGAAATATTCGTATAGAGGTGATTACACGGACTTGGTTGACCCCCCAGAGCGTTTCGTTTGCAAATCTATCCACCTTGGGACCCGTTATCGTTTGTGGGGTCAGTTTCTATCGGCCTCGTGTAAATAATAGGGCTATACGCACGCGAAACTATGCAGATACAAGCAGTTTCCTCCTCGTGTAAACGGCGCCTAAGTCCTGACTCCAATTGCTTCAGAGCCCTCACAGCCCCCACAGATATGTAAAGTAAAAGCCAATCTTTTGCAGTTATTGTGAAGAAAAGCTTCTGGTTTTTAAAAAAAAAGTCAGTGATAATCCCCTATATATATATTTATATATGTGAGTGTAGTGCAGATGTATCACTAACTGTAGGTAGATGCAAAGATACGTGTGAGCGTTTGTGTGAAACAGTCCTCCATACCTGATACCTCTTGACCAGAGCTTCATTCTTCTTCCTCAGGGCTTCGATCCGTCTGTCCAACTCGGCATCCTTCTCCTCTTTAGTCTTGAAATCCACCGCTGAAGACTGCCACAGAGAGGGGGGGTTAGGAGAGAAAGGGAATGAGTTTGAGGCCAGACTTTTGTCCATATCTAATATTGTATGTGGTTAGATGGTCAACTGTCTCCAGAAACATTGTTACAAGTTTAACATTTGGTATTTTCCTGCCTTTCTATGGTTTTTCTCTCAATTACTCACCATAGCGGCTTCTGTCTTCAAACACAGGTGGCTGGCTGCTGTTCCTCCTGCGGTGAGGAAGATGAAGACGATGATGCTGCAGCGTTAATCAGTCAAAGATTTGCCCATTAGTTGCTTTACAATCCACTCAAATATGAGTTTTGCTCATTGTCCTGTTCACATTATTTTCTTTTTTAACACATTTGTATGAACATTGTTGGGGGGGAGCCAGAGATCTAAGAGTTTCATTGATGATTATTTTTCTTTTTTAGAGAGCTAACCTACTTTATGTTGTGCAGTAATTATAATTTTGCGAGTAGTAATTGCATTTTTTACTATTGCAATATTTACAACAATAATGATTATCTACGGTGCAAAAAATAAATTGATCGATAATTATTTGCAGACCCACTTGGCTCCAGTCTGAAGGGTCCATGGCTGACCCTCTTCCCTTAGGACCTTTTTGAGCGGGTCTACTATTGAGCAGGCCACTGCATTGAAATACAGGGTCCTCTTGAGTAATCAATATCATTTTCAAACTCATGTCTCCCTCTGTGACTCAAACTGATAAATAGGAAACTGCTGGCTGATAGACAGGACGGCACACACATAACTGCAGTGTTTGATTGTGTGTACTTATTTTTAGATGTACGTCTTGAATTCCTATAGCCCTTAAAATAGTAAAAGGCCTGTGATTCATTTGTAGGTTGTTTTCATATCAGGCTGATGTTTAACATGTATTCCTGCTTATTGTAATGTCTGGTCTTGATGCAGCAATTTCTTTAAGACAATTCTCGTAACAACTTGTGACTACTTCCATGACTGAGTGTGTCTGAGTGTGAGTGTGTGTGTGTCACAAGAACCCAAATGGATAGATCCTGCATGTGTTGCAAAGCTTCTGTAAGCGTATTAGAGCTGCAGACAGGGTGCAGGTCAAAGTCCCTGCACAGACTGACAGTGACTTTAAACAGCACTTTTATAAAGAGTTATGGATATTAATCCACTCAACTCTTCTGGTAGTAACGTTAAGCACATGAGCCTTGTCTGTACTGATGCAGAGCACTGACCCGCCACGATGGAAACACAACACACACACGAAACCACGGACACACAACCAAACAGCGGAATATAAACATTTAAAGGCGTTAAGGAGAGACTTTGTTTGTGTTACCTGTTTCAGGGGGAGTTGTAACGACTGTAACGACCAATGCTGGACTCGTTGCTCTTTGCCAATTCCTGCGCCTCAATGAGTCCTCATAATTCGGCTTCCTGTTAGCTGCTAGCTAACTTCCTGCCAAATACTGACCTCCGTCTCGGTCGATTTAAAGAGACAGTTAACGATAAACTTCGTGTTGATAACACTTTATTAATACAGCAAACTGTTATTGTTTTTTATTTTTTATTTTTTTGAACAATGACTTAGATAATTGTAACGAATATGTTCTCTGTGCAGCACTTGCAATTCGCCAACGGTCCACCAGAGTGAGCCAGTGGTCAGTCTACTAGTATTTCTACAACTAGCCTACATATTCTGCCCATGATCCTGCCGCCGAAACTCTTAAAGGTAAACACACAAGTAGGAGCCATCTTGTGTCATGCACAGGGGCGGCGGGTACTGTAGGCTAGGGGAGGCTAAGCCTTCCCAAATATTTGTGTCACTGCATCCTGGTAAAATAAATATATAATGCATAACGTTTGTGTCTTTGACATTAGCGCTGCTATGCAGCCACCTGTGCCCTATTCGTTGATAGTGTACAACAGGCTATCAACGAAGCCAGTTCAACATACCCTGGATATGTTTAGTTATCTTAAAGGGCCCATGTCATGGCCATTTCCACTGATCATAATTACATTGTTGAGGTATACTAAAATAGATTTATACTGTGCAATTTTCCAAACTCACATTGGTTTCGCATACAGCATCTCTGTAAAGTATGTGTATTCACTCACTCCACTAAACGACTCGTTGGAGCTCTTGCCCCCCCCTCCCTGTGAGCCTGGGTGTGCTCCGATTGGTCAGCTCGGCCACTCTGTTCTGATTAGTCAACCACCAGAGAGGCTCCGCCCATGTCTAACAGTGCTTTTTTCGGCTCGCTCTCGGAACATCAGTCTTATAATGGCATCGGTACAGCCGTATATTTTATACGCTAACTAACCGAACTGTACCTACAACTGTTGTTATAGAAGAGTAAGTTATTTTTACCTGTAATAAACTACTACTGTTTGATGAGAAATCAAATCATGGTTTGCTATATATGAATGATATGTTATAGGAGCAAATAATTCAGGGAAGAAAGGATAGGCCTACTAAGTATTTCCATCAAACTTTATTTTTAGAAATGTACAAAATGAAAATGCGTAAATATTAGGGCTGTCAAGTTAACGCGTTAATAACGCGTTAACGCAAAAAAAAATTAACGCCACTAATTATTTTAACGCGATTAACGCATGTGTATTTTTTGTCCTCGGCCGCCCCGTAGTTTCAGAGCGCATCGAGTTTAAAATACCATCTACAAGCTGATGTTGACAGCCCCGCTCCTGCCGCCCGCTTGTGGCAGACCACACTTCCACGCTCACCGGCAGGCCCGGACTGGCCATCGGGAGGACCGGGAGGATGTGTGTATGTGTGGCCCGACTCGCGAGCGAGGCACATCTTACGTGTTGTTGTTAGCATCTGGTGCTAGCTAGCTGCGCTAACGGATATAAGGAGCTGTTTCAATGAAAACAGAGGAGCGACATTTCGCCGACAACTGCGCCGAGCACTTGACTTTATGCAGGTAGCCAGACAGTGGGACATTGTACGAAAAGTCAGCACACTCAGCACGGATAGTGTGCGCAACATGATTGCAGCGTCCAGGCAGCTCCCGATCGAGCATATAGCCTTGAGCTGCACATAGCTCCAACGATCCATCACAGTGTCTCCACACACACACACACACACACACACACACACACACACACACACACACACACACACACACACACACACTTTGTATTGTATTATTGTATGAGAGAGGTTCCAGGTTGAATTGAGGCGAATATTTGTAATGTTCAGAGGTTGTTGTGTTTAATATTCATGAGAATATTTGTCATTGTTCAAATGATAATAAACAAACATATAAAGCATATTTGTCCACTCATATGTTGATAAGAATATTAAAAACTTGAAAAATATCCCTCTAAGGTACATTTAGAACAGATAAAAAATGTGCGATTAATTTGCGATTAATCGCGATTAACTATGGACAATCATGCGATTAATCGCGATTAAATATTTTAATCGACTGACAGCCCTAGTAAATATACATATAGACACTGTATATCATCCATTCCTCCCCTTATAGGCGTTTTCGGCATCTTGCCTATCGCAGCTTTGTAAGCGGCTGCCGGGGCTTTTTAGGACGAGGCATCAGAGTGGGTCATCCCGTGTGTGTGTTGTCCGCCAGATACGCCAGGAGTGTCCTGATCTGGCTGGACGAAATCAAATGCAAATCACAAAATATTAGAGAAACTTAGTTGTTTTAGATTCGTTAGTAGTAGTTGTGGTAGGAGTGTGGATCTATCTAATCCATCTATCTAATCAACACAGTAAGCTTGCCAGCTAATATGCTAACCTAGCTTTCTTGTTTACCTTGGTAGCAAACACGATATGAACGGTAGCTCGGAGTTACGGCAACTATAATGTAGTGTAATAAAACTACTATGAACAAAAGCTAGTGGTTCATATTAGGCTAGCAATAACGTGTTTATAATTGCAATCTTATACGGGTAGTCTGCTACGTTCGGTCATTCATTGTAACTGGCATGAATACGATGTTTTCCGCTAGCATGTATAGCTAGCCTCGTTAGCTAGCCAACTGTAATGTACTGACCGTACAGTAAATCACCCGGAGTATACTGTATGAGTATTCCGTGTGTGAATGCAGACATTCTCCTGCCATGACAAACATGTAAGGCCATCTGCTGACATTGTAGTTGATATATTTAAACGCTAGCAACGTCGTTAGCCCAGTAAGCACTGTGTCAAGTGTTTTCCCGAGCAAACCCATGTCTAGCTCCGTTGGTTAGCTCGGTAGCATACACGCTAGGAACGTCAGCTATAATGTAATTACGTTTCGCGACTGACCGTACGGTAAATCACCCGGAGTATACTGTCTATGAGTATTTCGTGTGTGAATGCAGACATTCTCCTGCTATGAGATACATGTATGTAAGGCCATCTGCTGATATTAGAGTTGATATATGGAAACGCTAGCAGTCCGACACACGTTTACACATTTAAACAGTCGTGGTAGATACCTTGTTTGATAAATACACAAATAACAATGCAAACTTACAGGTTGTGTACCCGAATCTTCCCCTGCTCCAAACGGTCCAAACAAACTAGGAATAGCATCGTCCTTCAGTTTCAAATGCTGTGCATATCTGGCCTCAAACTGGGCAATGTTTTGGAAGCTTTCGTCTGTGAAATGCCGCGCACACAGTAACGTTCTTCGAACCTCTGAAGGAACAGTGTTAAACAGAAATTTCAACCACTGACTTCGTCGTGGTTCTTCCGTCGGTAGGACAAACAGCTCAGATTTCTCCTCACATTTCAGCAAACAGGTCCTTGGCATTGGCATGACTGGATCGATTGTGAACTGAACCAGAGCTTCCAACAGTAAATGTTAGGCTGGCAGAGGGTGCGGCCAGCGCCGCTGGGTGTGGCCATAGCTCTTCGGGATTGGTCCATTTCGTTCCGGGTACCGCATGACATCATGCCGTACCCGGAACTAAATGGAAGACTCAAATGGGCAGTGACGTATCTCCAACGAGGCGTTTTGGGGAGGTATTTTCTGTGTTAGAGTTTTACTCGCTACAGGGTGTACTTTGAGGGTTTTGACTCTGCACACCGTTTACATGCATAAAAACCTTCATAACACACAAGGGGACGGGTAATAACCGGAAAAGCATGACATGGGCCCTTTAACTAACCCTAACAAACGAGATCTCGCTAAGCGGTCCTACGACTTAGTGATGTGTCGGTCGCGAACGAGCCGATTCTTTTGAACGGCTCTTTGGTACGAACGAGGGGAACCGAGTCCTACTTGGTGAGAGCCGTTCTTTTTATCGTTCAATCGTTGGTCCGCACTCACTGCCTGCCAAAATCCACTCGCCTTTTAAAAAGCTTGATTTTGTTCCCCAAACGTATTCTGTGAAGACCCGCCCCTACTCTGTTTGGTAGGTTTCAGCATGAGGAGTGAGATGGGGTGGGTCTTAACGGAATACGCGAGAGAGAGAAGTCATAACAAGTGGTACAGGACAGGTAGACGATGTGTTTTTCGGATGGAAAATGAGCCAAACTTGAAAGCGCAGCAGCATTTGGATGCACTTCAACCAAAACCCAGGCAGTGATAAAGCGCACCATTTGTAAAGGCAAAATATCCTTTAAAGCAGGGTCAACAAATAATCTCCATCGCCACTTAAAAACACAGTAGCCTATCTAATATTAAGAGTTGCGTGAATTTCATTCAAGGCAAGGCAACTTTATTTACTTAACACATACAGAGGGTAAATTCAAAGTAGTACATTCACTGACATGAATGACATGGATATGGCGCCACCTTGTGTCATGTTTACAATGCAGATTATTTACATTAGGTCTGGCAATACAGTCAATCATTATCCTGGTGATTATTTCGCAGATAAACCTAGTAACCCCGCCCCCTTTAAAACAACGGCTCTTTTGAACGGCTCTTTTGAACGGCTCTTTGAAAGGAACGGAGCCATAAGATCCGGCTCCCTTCAAAGAGCCATAATTCCCATCACTACGTACGACTGGTTATCAACTCGGTAAATCAAGCCAGGGTTTCTCTCTCCAGCTAAGAGCGCGTTCACGTGAAAGGGGCGGGGTTAGCTACATTTGACCAATCACAAACAGGGACAAGTGTACTGACAGCGCATCGTCATACTTCATTAATGAAAAGTAAACTAATATTAGACAAATATGAACTTTAAACATCCATGATTTAAACATATAATCCAGGATACAAGCCACATAGTTGCACCTGCAATGTGAATATAGAACAACTGGTTAAAAAATAAATAAACGATACCGAGTGTTTGAAAGTGTACAACAGTTTTATGATATCACTGCCCCGTCTAAAACACGAGTGGATCTGACTTTAATTACATTTGACTCGAGTGTTTCGTCAACTTAATGTGTTGCTTAAAATAATACTTCTGCATACAGTATGTGACAATGTAAGTGATGCACGGCCAGATA